TTCATGGCAAAATAAAATACCTATACATTTCAAAATCATGAATCCATGCCAGCTACGTGACATTTATACATCCTATTTCCAACACATGTCCTTGCTCACTTTACTGCACAAAGAAGCTTAAGTACAAATACAATGCATGCTATAACAACAAGATTTTGCTTACAAAGAACCCTAGTTCCATCATCGGTTTTCAAAATCACCTTGACAAGTTAAACGAATGAGAAATCCACCATTGATACAAATTCATAAGACTGCTCTTCATCTTCAGTCAAGGTGAGAAAGGTAAGGTGCATTTACTACCGTGATACAGTATCATGCAGCTTATTTGGATGACTCTCCTTTGTCAGTCTATCAAAAACAACAAGAATGACTGAACATGAGCAACGGATGTCTCGGAATGAATGATGATTTAATCTATGTGCATACTCTGGGTCGACACCAAAATGGGACCCAAGCCGATCATGTAGATCAATAAGACTTCATTGTGCTTAGTGTTGTATCACAAATAATGGTAAAATATTCTGTGTACTCACACCTTACTAAAAGAAGACAATTAGCACCTAAAGCTCCTGAAATCTCTGCTTTTTATTCAAATAGTCACAACAGAATGAGAAACCTTTCTTGATTCAAGCAGGGTTTCATTTTGAAAGCCCTGGGTTCTCTTGAGTAGGTACTATAAACAGTATTGTAACACCTAAAACTATAGGCATCTGGAGTCCCTACTAGGTTACTTAAGATTATTTGGACTTGAGTCACAAAAGATCTGATGTTGTAAGATGTTTCTTTTTCATTTTCCCCGTTCTCTCAGCGAATCATTTTTAAATTGTGTCTCCACAAAAAAAAAATCTTATTATTTTTTTACATTTGGAATTAGTATTGCATTTTCATGTAGAACACTACACGGCTGTAGTTCAGCAACAGAAGGTCTCATATTAAAGTGCTACAGAAAAACATGTCAGAATGTAAAACATCACCAGACCGTGCTGTTTGAAAGTGGTATATTGCACAAGGAGCAACAGATAAGAATTACTAAGTCAAGGCTAATAGAATTAATGATTAATATATATATATAACCATTAGTGTATTTACAGTTATACCCCATAGGCCTCCTAATGACTCAAGCAAACGTTTCTAGTTCAACTTTAAGTTATTGCCACATAGAACATGTGGATACAGTATGTACAGTACCATTGTACATTTAGTTTTTTTTGCTGAAATAAAGAAACTAACAAAACATAAAAAGAAATAAAGAAGGATTTCAAAAGCTTCTGAAAATGGTTATGCTGTTTTTCCACTTTTGCGTAATTGTAGGTTTTAAACCTGAATCGCTGAACTTCAAAAAATACACACATATTGCTAGCTTAAAGGAATCCGTTTTTTACATTAAATACTTTTCTCATTTCAGATTTTTATACAATACAGTTATTAGCTTTAACTGGAAACAGGTGCTGAAAAGAATTTGCAAGTACAGCAACTACAAATTCACATTTCTGAAGTTTAACTTACATGAGAATTCAACAGGGACAAAAAATGAAAAAAGTTCTGACACTAACACTGACTATGCCTAATTCAAGCCATAGATTGCAACTTTCATGGCTATCATTTGCTGTATGTTTCACAATAAAACGCCTTCCACTAATGTGTGCAGTAATCTAAAACATGGCAGCAGCGCTTGAAATGCTGTCTTAAAAAAACATGGAACAAGCTAAGAACAAGTAAATGTGTTGTGAAATTAGACAAGTGTCACCTGGAGAACCATTTTTAAAGTCTGCGCCAAGTCCCTAGAGCTTACGCTGTGCAATCAGTTCTGAAAAAGTCTCCTTGCCCACTGAGGCTCATACAAACTAACCAAACATGCAACATGTACATGTGCAGATTCTTTGCTCAGAACAGCAGCCATTGTCTTCTGTACTTTACATAAAAGTCACTTAATCAAAAACCAGCAAAGTGAGCACTATTTTAATGGATGACTACTAAGTTTTAAAGGTCAAATTAAGCAAGGCAATGACCCACAAAGTTCCTGGCTACTGATGTTCTGGATTATGAGGCACTATTGTTATCAGCAGGGAATATAAACCATTTTATCCACATCATGATAGCATTTTGCAAAGCATACCTTCTCTGGATTAACCTGTAGTTATTATCACTACTGTCATTCAATTAAAAGATACTGTTAACAACCTTAAGGGGAGGACTAATGGTGATTGATTACCATTAGTATAAAAGAGATTCCTTTAAATCTTTAAATATGTCTCAGATTCTTTCAGTGACAACATGCATAATATGACCTGGCTAACAGTCTAATTAGGCAGCACTAATTGCTGTCTCTTTAAAAGGGTTACCTTACACAAAAGGTTCAATTTACAGAGCTGCAAAATGAAAGACTGCTAGGAATTTACTACAAGGAAAAATAAAAAGCCCGTGACTGCAGAAATATCCATGTATACTCAATACATCCCTGCTGTCAGAAATGTGAGAACAAGGAGGCACTTTGACCAAAACATGTTTGCATTCGTTTGGTGTTTCTTCACAAGTCTGAATGCAGTATTCTGGTAATTCAAGCTGGATAGCTTTTATTATCTATCACTCAGTCAGCCCTACACACAAATGACAGATTTCTGTTAAATTAGACAGCAAAACCCTTCCAATATATTATCGAATGGTAATTAAAGGTCATTTTGGAAATCCCATTTCGATGGAGTATAGTACACGGTAGTTAGTTTACCTCTACTGTCGCAGACAAAAATTAGGAAACAGATGCAAATAGTGAGCTAATTTAACCATGGCAAATAATTCTGATTTAAAAATATTACATCTCTTTAAGCATACTAAAACCCCCCTGTCACACCCCTGTCCTGTCCTTCATATCACAAATCCTGTAATTTGCAAAAGGACAAGAATTTCCTTGGGGTTTCAAAGAACATTGACTTGTTTTTTTTTCCTTGACTGCATGCTAAAGAAATATAATGGTTGTACTTGGTTATATTTTTTTTCTTCCTTTTTTTGCATGGGGTATATCATTAAAAAGACTGTTGACAAGATCATGTCAAACTCAATGCACAATAACCAGTAAATGACTGCTGTGATTGATGTCTAACTCTGACCCAGAAAATCTGGACTGTCTTACTGAACTCAACTGGGATGAACGGACCTTCCAAGCTTCTTGTTGGTGAGGTACGGTACCAATCTTCCTCTGGGAGGAGAAGGTAACACTCACCCCGCTGGCATTTTAAAAATCAGATGAGATTGACATTTGTACTGGAAATTACTGGCACGCCATACCCAGTTTATCAGAGTTTATAAAAAAAGCCCTCCAAGAGAAATAATATTTTATCACAGAAACTTATATACTTTAAGTAAAAAACAAAATAAAATTACTTTAAGAAAACAGAAATTCAGTGGTTACATGTAAAAACTATATATATATAATTTTTAATAATGACTTGGGAATTATAGGAAATTTAATCTCATATTAAATAGCTTGTCAATATTCTTTAGATAAGGGCCAGCAAAGCCAGTTTAAGGAGCTCTGTACTTCTGAGAAAACTCAGACCATCATCACAAACACACCACACAGCCCTGATACCACTCTGTAATCTGGATGGTGACAGTTTGTCATAAAGCAGGGTTTGAAAAAAAAAAGCAGGGTCCCACCTGAGACCCCCACATTAAGAAGAAAAGAGGCAGAAAGAAGTCTTTTTGGAGGGAGATGGCTCCATCACCAATGGACCGCTTGCTACTCATCTCGCACTCTTCAAAGATCATAGACAAGGAAACAATTACCCAGAAAAGTACTCCCCAGGTGTACTTCACTGTTAATGCCGTATTTCTGCTATCCTTGGGCCTTGCTTATTTTACAGCTTTCAGATTGAACTACACCTTTTTAGAGAGTGGTACTGACCAGGGCTGTGGTACAACATGAATGCTACACATTGATAGTTTCTTAACACCTCCACTGAGAGACCACACTCGGGTTACAAACTTGTTACTTCAGATGTGTCCTTGTTAGGTGTCTCAGGACTTTCTGCAATACTAAAAAGAAAATGTTTCAATCGGTTTCAGGTGATTGCAGTAATGACACTGAGCAGAGAGGAGAAAACCAAGCTTATGTTTCTTTGGTATTCAACTGATTTTATGATCCAGTCACTGAAGTCATGAAAGAAGCTCAGCCTCACTGGACCTGTGCTAGGCTCTCAAATCTTTGATCAGATAAGGGGCAGCTCTGACTGTCCTCACCTATTGCTACTTTCAACCTGAAAATGACAGAAGAGACAATTTAGTTACATATCTTTGCTCGTAAGAGTTTTTTTTAATGTTTGCATTTTAAATGCTCCGAAAAGCTTAGGTTTCTACACTTTGATATTTGCCTTTCAGGATAGACTCCTTTGACTTTGACTTCCAATCAGTGACGTAAGGGAATATGAAGCCATTTGTGGTCTCAGAGATGCCACCAGTGGCTCACAGCACTGGTCCTCAGTGTCTCAGTGTAAGCCTTATAGAACAAGCTGAAGTACTCAGGAGGTTAAAAGGGTGTCCTGAAGACACAACTGACAAATTCATTGGTGGGACGGATTTCTTAACAGTTTCATTGACCAAGAAGGCCAGAGTTATGAATGTTTTGGTTAGCCAAAAGGGGACACACTGATCACTTCCTCTTGCAATTTAAAAATGCTCCTATAATCAGAGCGCTAACGGTACTTTTAATCTGGCTGGGCCAAGCGTGTCCCGACATGACCTTCGGAAAACCAAAGGCAATATGCCTACCGAGCTCAAAGTGCACACAAGATGGGCCCTTTCATCTCAGGAACACTATGTATAAAGTGCACAAATTAAAGAACTAGTTGAATGACAGAGTGGATTACCAACAGCTTCGACATACAGAATATTATTAAACCCCTCATCCGATGGATTTCTAGCTTCCCCTAATCCTTTACCCCACATGTGCAATTCCAAGTGCACGACCAGACTTTTTATCTGCCAGAAAAACCCACTCTAAGCAATCATGTAGCCATAACTTATATTCTCTTTGTGCAAAATGAATCATTTACTTCATCCTATTTTTGTATATATAAAGATATATACATATCTATTCATAAATATATGAATATAAATATTGATTCTCAGATTGACGGTGCAAGAAATTAATGGGTAGGACTGTTGAAATGAATATTAACTTCAAAGTGCTAGTTGACTAGAGTCATACAGTACAGTAATTTAGGAGGTACATTATTAGAAAACAAGATTTCTTAAGGATGTTATTGTCACATTTAGCCTTTTTTGTATGCTTCTGTTTGGAGCTCACTGGCACGTTTACCCTCAACCATGTCAGCCATGGTCAATCCTGCTCTTCACAGCTGTCTGCTCGGGGCTCTGTCCTCTTCTCCTGGTGGGAGTTGAAAATCCGCCTCATCTCCTCTTCGTACCTGATGAAGTTGTCCCCAAACCTGGTCCAGGCCTTGAGGGGCACAGTGATCGTGTTCCGGTAGGGCTGTCGCACCTCGCTGATCTTTAGGAAAACGCCGTACCTGTTGGATCCCACGTCGAAGTAAAACCTCTTGTTGTCCACTCGGAAAGACACGGCTTCGGGAAGCTCTGGAGACTCGTCGTGGTTCCTGGCCCGGCCGCGCTCGTCAGCCTCTTCCTCGCCATAGTCTTCAATGAGCTGCGACAGCGCATCTCTGAACTCGATGAGCCCTTGCGCAGGCAGGACGATGGTCTGCTCGATGCCCTGGCCATAGTAGCCAATGGTGCCGTGCCCTCTGCTCACAGTCTGCCGGATGCGGAGGAACCTGCCGCGCTGGTTTTCCTTCAGGTCCAGATAATACTTTCTGTTGTCCCGCTCGATAAACTCACTCTTCAGGACGCGGTGGGTGTGCTCCTCAGACGCCGCGGAGCCGGTCGGGGAGATGAGCGCTGCGTGTTGATGATGGTAGTGCTGCTGCTGCGGTCTCCTCCGGGAATCGTGCTGACGACCCTGCTGGCTGTTGCTGTGCTCCTCCGGCCGGGACACCTGAGCGCCCCGCAGCCCGAGGTGGGCGTAATACTCGATGAAATCCCCGAGGCAGTACCTCAGGTCTGGAGCCATCGACATGGACAGCGTCAGTTTGCTTTTCCTGATGTTGTCGTGCCTGCCTCTGCCTATCCATACCTCTGCTATTTTGAGGAACCGGCCTCTCGCACTCTGCTTGACGTCCAGATAAAACCTCTTCTTCTGGATGTCGACCCGCTTGGAGGCGAGCTCCTGGATCTCGATGCCCTGCGCCGCGGGATACATGTAGTGCTGCGCATAGACCCCTCTCAGGCCGGTGTCTGATGTAATCCTTCCTCTCCCTCTCTCCATTCCTCTAGTGCTCGTATCAGCCATGATTATTCAGTTTTTCCCCCAGTTTACCAGCACAACCGCTCGCCTCTCCATTACTTATTTATTTTCCAGGCCGAATAAAGAAAAAAATAACGGGTCTGCTGAGGAGATGCGCAAAGCGAAGTCGTTTACGTTTTCTCTGTTGCTCGGGAAAAAGGCCAGGCACACCGTTAAGTGTCATCAACCAATGTCAGCCTTGATCTTTATTTATTTTTTGCTCCTTTTCCTCTTACTGTCACTGTCACTTCTCTCCGCCTGCTTGGTATCCCGGTGAAATAGGAAGAGAAAATCATCCAATACAGAGCCTCTTTAGGGGGCGCTACTTTAGGAGAGGCGACTTTTTGTTGGCTGAGAGGTGTTAGCCGTGATTCACCACATCGCTTAGCAGACCAGGGTACAACAAAGAACATTTTAAATCAGTTGAGATTTAAATCAGTTGAGAGTGTGACTTTTTTAAAAAAACTTTCCCTCTAAACGTTTCCACTTGTGTGTGAAATTGTTCTGGCTAGGGAAACCCTCCTGCGAAATTGGATTATGTGACGCTTTAATTCCGCGACGGAACCGAAGTGGGGGTGTCAAAATAGAAAACATCTCACATGGCAGGAGCTCCAAGGTAATGGCATTAGCAGGGCAGGATCTCACGCAGCCACCAATTAAGAAAAAGCGAAATATAATATTACACGAGGATTTTAATAAATTACACGTTTAAAAATATGTTCCCGTTTTTGGATCAAACTAAATCACAGAGCTGTCCGAAAAAGCGATAATGAGTACAGTTTGTAGGAATTTCTTCGAGTTTTAATGTCATGTACATGGACTGATGAACATGTCAAATTCGAATTGCTATTCCATTTTTTTATGCAAAGAGTACTAAAAGTCTTTTTTCACTTCATTCTTAAAACAATCCATATTTTTATTTGAATTGTTGCCACTTAACTGAAAGCAAAATTGAAAGCAAAATTACAAAACTACTGTACATGCAAATAACCACAGTAGACTTTGTTAGCTAGAGCTGTTTCATACTACCATTAATATCTTCATGGACATGGTGAATATTACAGTTGCAGAATGTATAAACACGAATCATAAGAGTAACAAAAATATTTTCTTCTTCAGATATCTTCTAACAACACTGAGATGTCTTATCAACAGGAGGACGTTCTAGAAAATATGCAGTGAATAGGTTTTGGTATTAATAAGTTATAATTCGTTTTCTGTGGAAACAACTATGGAGCATTAAAATATGTAAGTACGCAATTCTATGTATAATAAGCACAGCCTTTCATCCAACATTATATATATATAGACATTCCTGAATCTATTTTATTTTTTTTCCAGTTTGCAAACCTATTTTTTATTCAAACGCGGCCATGGCGGACAGAAAACTGCCTGGATGGATGTCGAACGATAAAAGCAGTGAGCAAACCAAGGTAAAAAGACTCACGTGTGTGTTTAGTCCATGTTAAGGATCCCGCGCATCAGTTGTTGTTGTACCTGTAACTTGAAATAGCTTTGAGGAGATGACGGTGTCAAGTCTACCACTAGTAAATTAATATGTATAGTTTTCTGCAACAGCAAAGAAAAAAAAATGTTGCTTATCATTCGATATGTAGTACAATTATTAGACTTGGGCGTGTCTAGATTATATTATGGCCGTTTATACTAATTTGGTTATGATTATGTATGCATCTGCTTCAGTAGAGGTCGTATTCAAATAAAACCGACCTCGATTCTCAATACACGCAGAGCCAACGTTCAATGCACACTTGTTTATTCAGTTCTTTTCCAGCTACTGTAAGTGAAAGAACAAATAATTTGTATTCAAAAGGAATAGAGAGCCGTTACTATGAGGAGGAAGGTATTTTTTATTGTGACCCGTCTAGCTCACTGAATTTTTAATAACTAATCAATCCAAGTTTTCATCCAGTTGTTTCTAAAACAAACAGGGTATTCAGAATAAGTGAACATGACTGGTTAAATTCCACACTTTGTGCTAAAATGTGCTTTCTCAGTTCTTGTCTGTTTTAAACACACTTCCCTGGAGTTTCCAAATGTGCCTCCTGGTTCATGTTTCACTACTGATTCTGAAGGCGTCCTGTGGGTTCACTTTGTCACTGGTTTTGAGAATTTGAATACTGGATTCAGATCCCCTTATAGTCTTCTTTCTTTAAGACTAAAAAACTTTCCATTCTGTCAATGTAGGGCATTTCTTTGAGCCTGGGAATGTATAAGGACTCTCTTCTTTGGAGTGCCTCCAGATTGGCAATGTCACTTTTTAATATTAAAATATATTAAATACAGTATAAGTAGCAAATTATATTAATGCCATCTCAAATATCTTTTGAAGCTGTTTCTTCCATTATTTTATTTTGGGGAAAACCCAGTTTCTCAGTGTAGTTTGAGGATTTCAGAAGAAGTGGCACATCAGTTTTAGCTTATGAGTTTCTTATTTTTAGGATCCTCTTGAACTAGAGACTTTGAGATAATGCCATCTTGTTGGAACTGATTTTTTAAATAAAACACTGATGCTGTTGTAAATGAACAATTGAAAGCCTCAGGTGGCAATCTAAATTGGTGAATTTCACTCATAAAAGAGTGGTAAGTTCCAATTGATGCTCAGCGTGCACTTTTAGTAGTAAACCATGTAGAGTAAAACTGAAACTTCATTACCCTCTTTGAAAAGAATAATTTTTTTTTTGTCAGTGTCCTCAGTTGTCAGTGTTTGTTTATGTTCACAAACATAACAAGCATATTGATTTTTGTTCATTCACTTTGAGACTTGAACGATTTTAAATACACTGTATAAATTAGTCTCTGCACATTTTTGTTTGGCATGACAGCTGCAGAGGAGACTCATAATAAATGAATGTCTCTCTGCTTTGACTTGTTCCCAAATAACACTGCTACAAGATGTTAAGGTGCTATTTTGCTTGCATTGAGTATATACTATGATTAGTATTAATTCTTAATTAATTCTGGTTTGTGAGGACTGATGTTTTTAAAGTGGAGAAGATAGTGGTTTTCTGTGTCAAAAGCTAGGATAAAAGTAATTCACTTTTGTTACAAAATGTTTATAAATAAACTTTACACAGTGCTTTTCTGGCCTCTCCATTCAAAGTGCTTTACAGGTAATGGTGACTCCCCTCCACCACCACAAATCTGTATTCCCCCCCTGGATGATGCAATGGCAGGCATAGTGCACAAAAACACTCACCACACATCAACTATTAGTGGGGAGGAGAACATAGTAACAAAGCCAAGGAGGTCATGATTGGTACAGGAGGAATTTTTGCCAGGACACTGGGGTTAACGCCACTACTCTTGTCTATTTTCTATTTTCAGTGGCCCTTGAGCAATTTGATTGGCAATTGGCGTAGTTTGAAGTGGATCCTTTGTATCTTCTGAAACCTAGATCTAAGCTACCATTTTAAATCTGGGCCTATCCAAATGAACAGACTGTAATATTGTTTGAATAAAATATTAGATTGATCTTTGAGGCTTTCTGACTTGTCATGAAATGTTGCAAAGAATAAATTTGCTAGAAAGTCAATGATCTGTATTTTTACTACTCAGACTCCAAGTTCTCTGTGTTTGTATTAGGTGTTTGTATAATTTTGCTTGTGCCAAAACTCTGTTTTGTTGAGTTTCATTTGAATGTCTACTCACACAGATGTTCTTGGTGACCGGCTGTCTAGTTAGGGTGGGCTATTGAAATTCCCTTTTTTCTTTCTTTCTACTGTTCAGTGTGGAATGAACTTGGACTTGTTCCTTTAAAAAAAAGTGTCATGCATTTCTCTTTCTCCTGAATTTTCCAGGAGCTGTCAAGATTTCACAAGAAGAATGTTTTGGAAGATCATCTTCCTTATCTAGAATTCCCTGGTTCTGTGGTTTACAGTTATGAATCCCACGACTGCTCTTTTTTGTCCGAGGATTTGAGGTACACTTGCAATATTTTATTCTCTTTAAATTGAGACAAATTTAGGCAACACATTGCTAAATGCGAAAACTTGAAGATCTCTTATTGTGGCGGGGGTTTCCAGTTTTCAGTGTGTGCGTTTACTCCGATTCCTTGCGAAAACTGCCTAAGGGCTTTGTTGCCTTTTGAAAATTGTTACTTTGGTGCATCTGGTTGATTTGCATTTGTTGTGATTCAGAACCGGCCTCACCCCAGGATCAGCTGTAGGGTTTGATATAGAATGGCCACCAAGCTTCATCAAGGGGAAAATGAAGAAAGTGGCCATGGTTCAGCTGTGTCCATCAGAGGACAAGTGCTACCTTTTTCACATTTCTTCTATGGCAGGTTGGTACAGTAATTTAGGGCGCTATTTGTTTGTACACGCCAAGTTTGTTCAGCAAGCAACATTGTATCTGTCTGAATTCATTGAACTAGTTAGTGGGAAACAGTTTTCAGGCTGTGCTGTATGTAAATTATTGTTGCTAGAGCAGAAACTTGTCTGAATGTACATTTTTTAGGGGATCAGGTTGTCCTCAAATGTTTACCTCTTGTCCTGCATTACATCATGGTGTGAAAAAACTAAATCAGTTTTTAGAAAGTTTAAGGTGCTCCTGTAAGCTTTTCTGCTTTTGATAAAATGGTTTAGCCCCCTGAGTTATCGCTACACTCAATGTATATGAGCAAAACTCCTTTATTTAAGTAAAGGATTATTTAAGATGTTAAATTATGCCACTTATTATGCCACTGTGCTACAATTGTTACTAATGTTGTTGTCAGAATTTTAAAAGAAACTTTCCATAGAATTCTTTTGGTTGCCCAAACGTCAAGTTTTTGTGATCTACCCATAGATTTGATTCTCATGTTAGAACTGCCATGTTTGTAGTATACTGGATGTCTTCATGACTTCATGTCATAAGCTAAGTATTAACATGCCAGCACTTTTCAGGATTTCCTGCTGGCCTGAAGAGGTTGCTCCAAGATGAAACTATCAGAAAAGTAGGGGTTGGAATAGATGGAGACATGTGGAAACTAATGAGTGACTTTGACATCAAAATGAAGAGCACTGTGGAACTTGGAGATTTAGCTAACAAAAAAGTAGGTGTGCATTTATAATTTTTTTTTGGTTTGAATTTGGTATTTTTATCAATAATCTGTAAAAGTCTACAGGTTTGAGACTTTGTTACCTTACCTTTGTCCCTGGAGTTATTTTCAATAGTGGGTGGGTGTAAATAATTTTATTGTTTTATTTTAAGAGAACCCTGTATTTTCCTTCAATTTGTCTGCTGCAGCTTCTTTAGCAAAAACACTCCATTGCATTATAAGATGCAGTTTAAGGACTGCAGGATTTCTCTTTTTACAATCTAAGTAAAACTGTTTGAATTACATTAAATGAAACAAATAAACGTATTTCTTCTTTGGAAGGATGCTCTAAGTTACTTTCCTACTGTAAATCTACTATACTGTATATTTAGTGTCCAATAACAATAACAAGGATAACAAATTGTTAGTTGAAATGGCAGTTTTCACAAATCCTGACCTGCCTTTGGTTAAAGGGCTACAATGTTTTTTTTTATTTTGATATGTTACTTGGTGCAGCTCAGATGTCTGGAAAAGTGGAGTCTGGACAGCCTTGTGAAGCACCTGTTCCAAAAGCAGCTTCTGAAAGATAAGTCAGTTCGCTGCAGCAGGTGGGATGACTTTATTCTAGCCGAGGACCAGAAGAAATATGCAGCAACCGATGCCTATGTGAGTTTATGCAGTCTGGCATCTTTACTGTTCTCTTTTCTGATCTGACTTGATAAAACACAGATCTGGAGAAGATTATATCCATCCATTTCTTTTAGTTGTGATTGAAATCCCTTTATGTGGTGCCTTGCGAAAGTATTCATCCCTTTCCAATGATGCCCCATTTTGTTTTATTACATGTGAAATTAATTAATGACAAAGAATGGCACCTAGATGAACTGGCATAAAATGTTCAGTCTTGTGTAGAGTGCTGATTGAACTCCGTGGCCCCTGTGGGCCACGTTTGAGACTGAGCCAAGCTTTTAGTCAACTGGGGCCAATGTTTCTCATGTAGCGGCACACGGCTGGACACAGCAATGACTCCTAGGGCCAGACCTGCGACCTTGCAGCAACACCAGACTCAAAGAGACGGGCATATTTGAGGACTGCACGTCTGGGTCCTCATCTTCCCAATGCTGAGCAGGAGTGGTTGGGAGTTACATTGAATAACACTTAAAATAATAATTTTGAATAACATAAAATAGAAAAATATTGTTGATTCTAGATTGAAACAAAAACTACCAACAACACTGCTTCATGTTTTTATCTGAGCAACGTGTTTATGTTCATGTCTTTTAATGCATGGGAATGCCACTAAGAGGAAATTATTCAAATATCTGTAAGATGTACAGTATATGAGGTTAACATAAAATTTCTTTTTGTGTGATCAGGCTGGACTCATTATCTATAAAAAGCTGGAGAAAATGGATTCTGGTAAGTTAGAATACCACGGTGGGTTTCACTCATTGTGGTCTATTTCCAAGAACGGTGTTCTGTAATATAGAGCCTTAATACTGTAACAGAAAAATGCAAAATGCCAAATATTATTACTCTATCTTCTTAATCTACATTGTACATTGTGTACAAAGGCACACAGCCTTTGGTAATGCTTTAAATTAGAGGTTGTTAATGCCATTTATAGATAGAATATATTACTAAAGTATTCACAGTGATTTGGATGTAATGAAACACACTTCTGCTGTAGGCTAATTGTACAATATGTTAATAACAAAACCCTTATCCTGACCAGAGCCACACCTAACCTATACACCTAACCCTAGTGTAGCATAAAGTGTATAATAGATATTAACAGTCATTTTATATTTCATTTACCAAGTTTAATTAAGCAAATCCTAAAATATAAACCAATCTTATGTGCTCCTGGATTTCCTGGATCTTTTGGCATAGACTAAAACTTCAACACAGAAAGAATTATATCTAAAAAAGTCACTCTGAATTGCAGCGAGAAAAAAAGCATACTATGTAATCATTGTTAAGTTTCACACTGACATTTTTAAACTGCAACAGCTTCGAAGCTGATATCTGTTGTGAGTTTGGAAAAACTATTTCTTAGAAATTGTTTTTTTTTGGTGCCAGCAATGAATTTGGAATGGAAGGACTAAGGTGAAAATGATACACATCTTATTCAACTGCTGTGAAGATGCTTATATCCATATTATACTAGAAGTGGGTAACTGAATAACTAGCATTCATTTTCAATGATTTTCATTTTATTTTAAGCCACAATGTAATTACACATTATGATCTTTAAACAGTGTATTAATCCATTTGGTCATTTTTATTGCCAGAAACATTTTAACACGTTTTTAACAATAGCTGAAAAATACTGTAGGAAGATGCCTTTGTTATTGAATTGTTTTCAGAACTAAGGTGCCAAACATTACAAACAGTGATCAGTGGAAAATGAATATTCAGGCTTTAGAATAAAGGGGATGAAAATGATTAGCTCGTATTACCTACAGTTTCATGTTGCATTAAAAGGTTCTTTGGGTTTTGTGCGGCTCTTTATGTTATCTTGTTGTTTTTCAGATATTTAGGAACAGTGGCAAAGACACAATGTCAGTTATAAAATTTGTGAGCCAAATTAAACATTCTCACAAATCAGAGCCTTTTTGTTAGAACTGGGATGAACCTGTTTACTGTGTGAATAGCACCCAGATGGAATGTCATGCATTAAGATGCTTAATAGCGCTTCCTTATCCAGCTGTCCTTTTTACTTGTAACTGCTGAATTGTATACATTGTTTCATATTGTAGTTTGTTTTGTGTTTTTATGTTTAACATATATTTTGAGTCTTTTTTAAATGCAGAAGCTGAATGAGTGTCAATAAATAATGGGATTTGAATACTGTTTTATGGAGGGATATGAGTTATTCTGACATAGTCAGTCTGTGACTCTTCTTCTTCTTCTTTCTGTCCTGGGGTCAGCTGCTTTGGTTGCTCTTCTCCACTTGTCTCTGTTGAGCACATCTTCCTCACTCACTTCACATACCTCCATATCTTTTCTCACACAATCTATCCATCTCTTTCTAGGCCTGCCTCTTCCCCTGTTACCTTCCACCTCAAATTCCATCTAATCACAGTCTTGTACATATTGCACTTTAACTTTCTAGGAATTTTCCTGTCACAGATTATTCCAGTAATTTCTCTCCACTTATTCCATCCAGCTTTCACTCTTTGTTTTACTGCATCCAGTGTTTCTCCTCCCTTTACCAGTTTTGATCCAAGGTATTTAAAGCCATCAACCTGCTTCAGTTTTTCTCCATTTGTCTCCTCAACATTGGTCATAGTATCTCCTCTTCTTATTTCAGTATCTCCTCTTCTTATTTCAGATTATTTCAGATTTTTCTGCATTCATTTTCAGTCCACCCTTTTCCAGACTCCTCTGCCATTTGAACACTTTCTCCTGTAGTTCTACTTCTGAATCTGCCATCAGTGCCACATCATCAGCAAAGATGAGTTCCCAAGGCACTTTTGTTCTTACCTCCTCTGTCAGTGTGTCAACAATGTTTATAAAAAGGAAAGGACTTAGTACTGATCCTTGGTGTACTCCAACTGTGATTTCAAACTTTTGTCTCTCCCCGTTGTGTGACCACCTTCTTAGTTGCATCTCTATGGGTTGCTTGAACTAACTTCACCATGCTTTCTGGTACTCCTTTCTTCCTCAAGCACCAATACACCACCTCTCTGGGCACATGGTCATATGCCTTCTCCAAGTCCAGAAAGGCCACATACAGCTTTTTCCCTTTCTCTAGTGTCTTCTCCTGTTACTGTCTCATCACAAAAATGGCATCTGTTGTGCTTTTCCCCACTCAGAATCCAAATTGTGAGTTGTGGACCCTGACTATCTTCCTGAGTCTCTTGTCCAGAATTTTTTCCAGGATTTTCAATCCATGTTCCAGAAGTTTTATTCCTCTATAGTTTTTACACTCCACTGGGTCTCCTTTCTCCTTGTAGATGGTAACCATACTGCTTTTTGTCCATTCTTCTGGAATTCTCTCTTCCTTTGCAATATTGGTTAACAGTCTCGTCAGCCACTGAATCCCCTCTTCATCGAGGTTCTTAAAGTGTTCTGCTGCTATTCCTGATGGTCCAGTTGCTTTGCCCACTTTCATCTCTTTGATAGCTTCTGTCACTTCCTTTACTGAAATTTCTTGGATTGGTCCACACACTACGTCTGCCTCCACTAGGTTCTCCCTTTCTACATTTAACAGATTTTTGAAGTACTCCAGCCATCTTTGCTTGATCTGTTCTTCTTTAATCAAGACTCTGCCTTCTCCATCCTTGAGTACTGCCACCCGGATAATATATTTTTTCTGTCTCGCTCTATGTTCAGCAATCTTGTAGATTTGGTCCTCTCTTTCCTTTGTTTCAAGTTTCTCATACCATTCTTTCCAGGCTCTTTCCTTTGCTCTTGCTAGACTTCTTTTTGCTACCTTTTGCTACCTTCTTTAGTCTCTTATATTCTTGTAATTCTCCAAGGCATCTTTCAGTGCCTTGTATACTTTTTTCTTTTCCTTTCTTTTCCTTCAGTGTTTCCTGAACTTCCATATCCCACCACCACTCTTCGTTTTTCCTCGGTTTTCCTCCTCTTGTCTTTCCACAAACCCTGGTAGCAGCCTCTTCTAGGATGTGGCTCATCTCAGTCCACTCTTCTTTAACTGAAGGCTCCTCTGTTTCCTCTTTGTTGTTTTTCATTTCTCTCACCAGCCTGTTGAAATCTACTTTGTTATCTCTCAGTTTCCACACTTTTGTTCGTGCTGGGTGTTTTTTCTGCTTTATTCTTCACTCCTTCAATTTTGTGATGTCCATCACCAGTAGCCTGTGTTTTCTGGTAACAGCCTCATAGGGCAGGACTTAAGCATCTTGGACTTTCGCTCTATCAATTTTTCTCACTAATATGTAGTCTATTTGGGTATCATGGCCTCCACTTCTGTATGTCACCTTTTGCTTATAATTCTTCGTGAACCCTGTGTCAAGAAGTCACTTTGTGACTCAAGCATGCAAAATGTTTAATTTTCTTATGTTTCATTACGTGTCTCCTAATAGGTGGGATAAAGTTGCATCTAGATATCAAGGAAAAGCTCATGCAGTTCTCCAGTGAAATTCAGGAGCTGGCTGGCCAGATTCCTGATAAAATCAGTGACACGAAAAGGTTTGAAACTTTCATAAACTGTTGCATATACAGTACATCACTTAATTTTTTCAAACATGATATTCAATGGTGATTTTACAAACATGCTGTGATTGATGGTAAAAGAAGTGAGGTTTAAAATCTCTATTGCACTATGTGTTTTGTTTGGAATATGGAACAGTTTTACATTGATGTTTTCTCATTATTGCCTAACAACTCACCTGTGCAATGAACAGTGAATGCTTCTTGAAATTGCTGGCATTTGAAATTGAATTGAATTACCACAGGAAATCCTAAGAAATAAGAGGTTTTTCTATCTCAAGACCTGACAGATCAATGGAACAGGAATGTTTTGCCTCTTATTTTAAAAAAGTTGAATTGTTTCACAGCATGTCTTCCCTTGATCTTTAATATAGAAGTAGCAGAATTTGTTTTGTAAACAGCAGACCAGATTTGTTGTTTTTATGTCTTCCTGACATTGATTGATCTGAGATGGAAATTAAGGAGCTCTAATCAAATGCCAGTCAAGTTTTCTTTGCAACGAGAGTGTTCTGCACTTTGTGACTATTGTTTTTTCAAATGTTGTTATGCTCTCTCTCTGTTGATTGGCATACCCAGTGCTGCCGAGCTTGTGGACGGTATGGCTGAGAAACTGGGGGCTTTAAGACGGCTGGTGTTTGGGGGCAGTTCTCAGGTTACAACAGAAGAAGAACATGATCCCGAATTGTGCAGAGAGAAAACCTGCAGCACCAAGGACACTCAGAAACCTGACGGCAAGACCCAAAGAGCTGCCTTTGAATGGGGAATACCTGGAGCCCACGATCTCAGTCATTCGATTGTGAAGCCCGTCAAACTTTCTTCAGGCGACTTAGAACCAGCGGAAGCTGAGAGCAAGCCTCAAGATTATAAGTCAGCTTCTAGGGAATGTGTCATGTCCCTGGACATTTCTGAGTACGAGCTTGATGAGCTGGAGAGGCAGGCTATGCAGAAAGCTATGGAAGAAGAGTCTATAATGGAGCACCAGGTAAGGGAATCCCATAGGATGCTGCGTGTAGGAGTTTTCTATAAGGTGTTGTTGACGTAAGTAGATGGAGTAAATAAAGAGAAAAAGAAACACACTGGGTGTACTTTTGTTTCTATAGTGGCGAAATAGTTTTGCCAAATGCTATCACATCCTTGCTCTTCATTATCCCACTCTCACTCTGTAAGTAAGAATTCCATTGTACCAGCACCGGTTACATATGGCAATAAAGTTCAAGTTCAAGTTCAAGTACTTATCGTTAGTTTCTCCTCTGGGAGAATTTGCACCAGTGTGTCCCTCAGTGTATTGCATTATCGTTTATGGCCAGCCTGACTGTGACCCTGTGGTTTGAATGTTTAGGAGTACTCTCATCTGTGCAGCATTGCCCGAAGCTTTTGTAACCAAAGGAAATCACAGCAGAAAGTATTTGCGTACTAGAAACATGTAGCCCAGTCACAACCTGTAACAACCATTATTTCCATTATTAGGCAGCAGTGGACGAAGGCGCTGACCTGTCCTATGTTGTTGAAAGTGATGAAGAACTGGAACGTGAAATGCTTCAGGTACTGAAGGATGTGCAAATGCTGTATTTGTCACAGGCTCACCACTAGTCATTGGAGCTTTTAGTTTGTGGACATCTTGTTTAAATCAGGCTTTGAAGTACAAATTCATCATAATGCCATTTACAGGCAAGCTGATCTCTGTTAATTATTATGTTGTTTTGTGAAAAGTCTGGCTCTCATCACTTTGTTTCTGATATGGATTCTTCTCTTCCCAGTGTATGGATGAGATGGACGAGGGGAAATGTTTGGACAGTGAACTGTGTGGAGGTGACCAGAGCAGAGAGCAGACAGATACCATAACGGTCAAGGAAGAGGAGGAGGATGATGAAGGCATTGAGGAAGAGGAGGAGGAGTTTGGTAATTGTTTGCTTCAGTCATTTGTCTACTCTTTGTTTGAAGAGTATTGAATTTGGTAAATAGAACGTCCTGGTAAATTGTGTTTGCCTTTATCGAATTCTACAGATTTTTCAGTAGGTTTCTTTCAGTGTATGCATTATTAGATGTAGTTCAGGTGGGTAGCTGCGTCAGCATGCGTAGGCTGCAAAGGAACAAGTAATAGGTTTATTCCATGCTGAAAAAAAGAAGAAAGAGAACACAACGTTTCGGCCGTGGAGCCTTCTTCAGGTGTGAGAGAGACAGGGCAGTAGGCAAAGGTAAAGTAGCGGGAGAACAAAGGTTGGGAGGGAGGCCTCTCTTTCTGTCCCCTGCTCCCGCCTCTCACTCCTCCTCCCTCCCAACCTTTGTTCTCCCGCTACTTTACCTTTGCCTACTGCCCTGTCTCTCTCACACCTGAAGAAGGCTCCACGGCCGAAACATTGTGTTCTCTTTCTTCTTTTTTTCAGCATGGAATAAACCTATTACTTGTTCCTTTGCATTATTAGATGTAGTTGGGTTATCAAAAGGCATTTTGATATCTGTTGTCTGCTTGTGAAAACTGGCTTTAAAATGTCGGTGTTTACTGGGATATTGAAAACCATTCTTGTCTATAACATCTTGGGCTCAAAGCACAAAAATAAAGAGGATAGAATTCAACTGTGATCAAATTATTGATTTTTGAACCTTACTTAAATCACATATGTCTTATAAATCCTTCACAGAAGGAAAAACCTCTTTCAGTACACTGAAGTGTAGTGGTTACAGTGTGGTGTGAATCTTAATCTTTTGGCTTCAATTAACAGAAGCAGCTGTGAATATTTTTTTTCTGTTGTTGACATGTTGGATTGAATCCACATTCATGTTTCCTCTAGATCCTTCTCTCCCTGAACCAAACTCCAAGCAAATTAAATGCCTGAAGACTTATTTTGGCCATTCCAGTTTCAAACCGTGAGTATTGATCTTAAACAATGCAAGTATTTTTGCATGTGTTTTTCCAAACAGCTTAACTGCACGGATAGGTTTAGAGAAACTAAATTTGAAGATGTAATACAAATAGTTATTAATGTATCCACAATTTATTACAACACTTCCTGAAACTGCATCAGTAAAAAAACAACTGTTTCTTTTGATAAGAAAAGTTGCATTAGGCATTAAGTAACAAACACAATCCACACATTATATAAAAATACATGCTAAATCAGTAGAAACTAATTGACACCAACTTGATAATGGCACACTCATCAGACTTGTAGTTCGGCTAAGTACAAAATGCAATTTTATATAACAGTAGTTAATTAAAAGCTTTTTATGACCGGTTTATTAAAGAATAGATGCAAATCTCCCTTCTAAAAATTGTGAAGAACATGTAAACAAAATAAAGCTATCAGGAACAAACAACAAAAATCATGATCATCATTAAGAACTTTGAAACTTAAACTTAAATCTAGTGTAAATCTGAAATGTGTCATGCGAGCACTGTATCAATTTGTTAACCTTCATGAGAGACCGGGCTGCTGGTCAACATCAGAATCTGCACAGTGGGTGTCAAAAATATTCACACCCCTTGGACTTTTCCAACTTTATTGTGTAGTTTGGGTCAGAAAGTATTTACATGGGATTTTTTGCCATCGATCGATACAAAACACTTTATAATGTCAAAGTGAAAACAAAGTTCTACAGATACTCCTAAGTTATCACCAAGTGCTTCAGTGTGAAGACTGGAAGAATGTTTCTGCAAACAATAAAACTGATTCTGCTGCTGCCGTCACATCAATAACGATGAGTGAGCAAGTTATTGGGGTCCAGTGTGCTCAAACCATGGCCTCATCTGTCTGTAAATTCTGATAGGTCTTGCTAACGAGAGGTTTCCTGTACAGTACAAACTATGGATTTTGATACTTGCTCCACAGTGCTCTGGAGGCTGTTAGCGATTTTAGGACAGCAGTTTTAGGGGTTTCCTTGACAGCTCTTGTCATTTTCTGTCAGTTTAGTATGTTTTTCTTGGCTGACCCAGGCTTGACTGATTGGTAGTTATAGCTGTGGTTTCTTTCTTCATCAACTTATTACATACTGTTAATATTAGTATGCCCAGATTTGTTCTGTGGCCTTTATGGCTTCAAAATTGCCTGCTTGTCTAAATATAAAATGCTTTGGTTTTCATCCTGACTATTAACTACTAACTCCAAGTGTTGAAGTAAGTGAAAATGATTTTGAGTGTCTATTTTTCCAACATCAAACACTTGACCAGCTGTCAGCCAATTGTTTCAGTAGTTTTGCTCCTTCAACATCATCAGTTTGAAATGATTATTCGAGGTCCTAGTGACAATCCCAGTTTAGACTTCACTTTTCCAATACATTTAGAAGGCACTGTCACCACTGTTGCATTTCAGTTTTCGGTGGCTGATCTCCAGGGTTTTGCACTTTATCATTGAAACCTTGAAACATTAGCCACAGGTAAATCAGAAATGATTTTATTTCAGTTCTTGATTTAATGACATTTTTTATTTGCGATTTTATTTGTATTTTTATGTGTCTGGAAAACAGGTCTGAAGACTGACTAAACAAATTTCTTGCAGGTGCTTAAAAATAGATAATACTAGTTAACTCCATACATACGTTCCTTGTCTTTCACACTTTCAAAAAAAAAATTATGATGCTAATCCAATGCCAATTCAGTGACATTTATGGCTGACTGTTGTCTAGTTCACTAAGAGTATGCCAATTTCCATTCCATTTAATATAGAATTAAAAAGTTTACTTTTGTTATTTCAGTTCCCTCTTTGTTTTGTCTGCTGTGCTTTTATCAATTATTTAATAATATTTTATTTTCTGTCTTTCTTTCAGTTTGTCTCTTTGTAAAATCACAATTCCTTGGAAATCTTCTGTTGAGGTTATATTGAGCTAACAGTTAATCCTGACAGAGCTGTACTTTGTTGGACATAAAGTAGCCCTGCAGCTTTTTGGATGAGTACAGCAGAGCAAATGATGTATAAACAAGGGGCACCTGACAATTAATTCAATGAATCCTGCAGCAGATTAGATTGGTAAATGTGATGGATTGGCTGCTACAACATTACCTATTGCCTGCTTATGTATAGTTTTCCTTGAGCCGTAGTTAGGTTTTCCAATTTTGATCAGGGTGAATTAAATTGTAATAATAGTAGAAATCCCTAGTGGAAGCTTTGAGCCATTTGTTGACGTTATTAATGTACGTGTACTGTATTGTAATAGATGTATAAGACATTTTGCATAGCAGAGCAAATTTTTTTGTTCGTTTTCTGTAGTTTGGCATTCGTTAGTCAAAAAAATCAATTAAGGCCTTTTACATCTTAACTGTTGGGACTTCATTATGTTTTGTTTCCTGATCTCTCACAATTGACTTTTGAACATATAACTGGCACATCTGTGTTATGTAGAAAGTGACTACTGTTTCCGGTAGGTGTTATATTAAAGTTTGCAAATACTTCTGGTGACGTTCAGTTGGGTCTTATCTCTCTGGGTAATCCTTCTTGTACTCTGTATAAGAAATGAAAATGGATTTTGTTTATTTTCAGAGTACAATGGAAAGTGATTCACTCAGTGCTTCAGGAAAGGAGAGATAACCTTGTTGTCATGGCAACAGGTGAGCCGTGCTTCCTGAATAATGACAATTGACAAAATATCAATTATGTTTACCTTGTACAAAATGGAGATATTACAGAATGGAGAATAGGGTGCATTCAGGACCTAAGGAAAAGTATCCTACATGTCCTTACTGTTTTATACTCTTTTCTAGTGCTGGAGTGTTTAATGAATATGGATCTCAGAATTGCACTTGCACATGCTTGCTGTTTTGCTCTTCCATCCACAGAATAGTTCAGATGTACTTATCACTGGAAATTCATTTATCTTCTTTTTAACTTAGTATGTGTTCACTCCTTTTGGTGAGGTGGAAAATGGTGTAAGGTTGGTTAAATCCACAAAACTAGAAACTGTTCTTACTACTGAGTTAAGTAGCAGAAAGGCACATTTTATAGCCACAATATATGCAATATATATGTAAATGAGACCTTTAGCTTGCAGTTTACTGTATGAGGTTTGTCATTTATTATATAATATGCTTTGCTTTGTGAAAAGTTTTCACATTTTGAAGCTTTTAAAGTTTGCAGTAAGGACACTTTGAAGTAGGATTTAATATACAGTATGTTATATAGACAACCTCCACCACATATTCAAAGCAAAAATAAAACATAAGGAACTAAATAGATAATATAAATAATAGTAAGATCTCGATTGTTTAAGTGTTCACACCCTTTGCAACGGCAAGCCAAAATTAATTTTGTTGCACAAAATTACCTCAGTGAGCCACACAATTAGGGCCTGTGCCTGTGTGCAATAATAGTGTATCTCATTATTTCAGAATAAAAACACCTGTCTCTGTGAGGTCCCTCAGTGAGGTAGTGAATTTCAATCAAAGATTCAGCCATGCAGACCAATGAGCTTTCAGAATAACTCAGGGATTACATTGTATAAAGCCACAGATCAGGAGAAGAGTCTAAAAACATTTCAGTTTCTAAGACCCATCATGTTTTTTTGAGCATGGTAAATTTGATTTGTCATTAGTTCAGAGTAACAGAGGTCCATGGCTGGACCTCTGTGACCCCATGGGTCAACAATATCTTTCAGACAGTTAGCTTGTATTGAACATTTTAAATCTTGCATGAGGTTTGCAAACAGAGCACCTAAGTGATACTACAGGTAATTTGTAAAATGTTCTATGGTCTACAGACGAAATGGGAACTTTCTAGTCTAAAATTAAAGCAATCTGGCACAAATACAGCATAGTACATCACTTGGTTTACACTATCCCTATTGTCAGGCATAGGTGGCAGCATTATGTCTTAGTTACAAAAGGACCAAAGTAATGATTATTCTTACTGGAAAACTGCTTCAAACCTAAAACTTAAAACAAAAGTACAAAAGAATACAAAACTGAATGTCTTTGCGTAACTCTGTCAAAGTTGCAACTTGAATTCTAGTAGGTACCTGCGGGAAGACATAAAAACTACAGTCCTAAAGTGATCCCAAAGCAACTTCAGAGCACTTGTGCAGATCTGCAAAGAATAAGGCGCAAAAAGTGCTCCGAGCCAGTGTGTAAAGTCTGGGGGGAATGTGGCTGTTAATTGCTGCCAGAGTGGTGTACAGGAAATATTGAGTTCACAGTCTGAATACACCATAGGAAGGATAATAATAATATGTCAATGTTTCTTTATTAGCCCTACATTTCTTGCATTAGGAATTCATCTTTTCGCATGCCCCAGCTTTTCTCCATGGAGACACAGACACACAGACAGGGAGAGAAGCTTGGGGTCAGAGCACAGGGTCTGCCATTGTACGGCGCCCCTGGAGCAGTTGGGGTTAAGGGCCTTGCTCAGGGGCCCAACGGAGTAGGATTCCTCTGCCGGCTGCGGGATTTGAACCGGCAACTTCCAGTCACAGGCGCAGATCCTTAGCCACAGAGCCACCTCTCCGAGCCACAGAGCCACCTCTAAGCAATTAATAATGATAATAATTGCTTATACTTATATAGCGCTTTTCTGGACACTCCACTCAAAGCGCTTTACAGGTAATGGGGACTCCCCTCCACCACCACCAATGTGCAGCATCCACCTGGATGATGGATATGGATAGTTTGCACGATTCTGTATATGTATAATTTAAGTGTTTTCATATAGGCTCTTCGTTGCATTCCTGCTTGTATTTCATTATCTTCTTTAAGGAGCCATGTCAAAATACATAATGTATCCTTAGCTTGACCTGCATTCTGCTTAATACATTTTAAAGTTGCAGGTTTTGGCTGTAATTTTGCACTTGGTCTTTGCGATTGAACATTGCACAAAAGTTTCAAAGACTGTGTACTGCACATTTAGATGTATAGGCATGTCTGATCGATATTGTAATGCTCAGGTGCCTGGGAAATTGTTTAAGGGTGCACAATTGTAAGTGTTTTTTGCTGTCTTTGATAGATACACAAACCGCTTAACTTTTAACTTCCGGCAAAATGAAAACAAAATACCCTTTCAGAGGAAAGCTATTTTGTGTCCTTGTCTGATAAACAGTTCCTCAAATGTCTAAGTCAATGTGTTTTTACTGTGCTGTTAATCAGCTGGACTGCTGTTTTTGTTCTGTGAAGGTTATGGGAAGAGCTTGTGCTTTCAGTTCCCCCCAGTATACTGTGGAGGAGTTGGCATTGTCATCTCTCCTCTTATTGCTCTCATGGAGGACCAAGTACTTCAGCTGAAGTGAGTGGCCTATTGCCTTTATTTTGTGTTACTCCAGGGGCTGTGGGGTTTAATTGTTTTTTTTTGTAAATGTTTTTCTTGCACCTTACCACTTTTTGTAAAAGGTACAGAGCAAAATGTACACTTGTTCTATTATTTTGTATGGCCCAAATTTCTTATGACTTCTGCAACCACCACTGGACTTATTATAAGATGGTTTAGCCTCATTCACACATGACTGGTAGTTTTGAGCAGAGTTGGTCCAAGATAGCTCACAGAAGTGGTGAGGCTCTTATGGATACCTAAGAATAACAAGGCAGAAATAATTGCTTTTGCATAGCCAACTTTTTCAAGTGATGGACCAATCTGGATTTGTAGTGTGTCCGCTGCTCTTACAAGACAAAGGCAGCAGATTGTGTCCATAACATAACCTCAAGAGAGGGCTGCTAGACACGTCTGACAGGCATGCAGCTGCGGGTGCACAGAGCAAGCGGTAGAGAGAGGCTGAAGCAGTGAATGTGAGAACAGGCAAGCGTGGTCCAGGCAAACGCAGTCCAGAGCTGTAAATGGGGGCAAGAAAGTTCTAAAACCAAGAGACACAGTACAGAGCACCAGAATATAATCCAGAGAATGAAGTCAGGGCAAAGGGTCCAGAAACAAAGAGAATAAAGCTTGAAAAGCAGCAAACTCTATGACTGCGCTCTCCAGCACTTGCCAGATCACAGTTTATGCAGTCTTGAACCACCTGAGGTGGGCATGGTGGAAAATTACCACCAGGTGGTACAAGACTCCTGTTGAATTAAAGACACTTTAAGACAGGTGGCTGGCTACTGTTTAAATACTAGTTCGCCTCCCAATCAATGATTTTAGCCCTTAACGTATAAAATATGGATATAATTGCAGATTTAATTTCATCATAATTTTTTTAAAGTTTAAATTCATTTATCCAACCAATTATAAGTTATTCCCCAAGGGTTTGTTCTGAATGCCTTTAATGGAAAACCTTTTCTTAGAAGTGAGTGTGTGACTAAGGTGAGTTTTTTGTATACTCATGGCTAAAGCTGTAGTCCAACATATTACTATTGTATGACATTGTGAGGAGGCAAGCCTTTTTAGTTGGATATTCCAACTTTAATTTTACAGTTCTAGTTTAAAATAGATGACAGAACATCTAGGTTATATCATGGTTTACAGTGTATATATTCCAGAAAACATCAGGAGTTTAAGATCAGATAGATCAAAGGCATGTCCTGTTTTTTTTCAGGATGTCTAACATTCCAGCATGTTTCCTTGGATCAGCTCAGACAGACAATGTCTTTATGGATTTAAAAAGGTAAGTTCTGGTGAGTTTTTGTCATTGGATATACCATATTATTTATTAATAACATATATGAGAGGAGTATAGTGTAGGTATAGTGATTGTCATAGATCCGATTATCATTAGTATCCAATCTATAAAAAATGAAAATAAGCCTATACCCCATTTGGTGGTCAGTTGTTATAATTTATGGTACAAGAATTGCTCAGATGTTTATTGAAATATCTCAGGAAATCAATTTCAAGAAAGCAGATGATGCGGAAAGTTGATTGTTACAGACATTCATGACTGGAAAATATGTTTCCTGATTTCAACCATTGACGTATAATTACCGTTTGCATATGAACTTTCTATTTTAGAGGCCACTCAGTGCATTACTTAAAATAATTTTACAAGTAGCTTCTTCCAAAGTGAAAGCTTAGTCGTGAGGATATCGTACTCAGATTTATTTACTTAATTATTTTAAAAATCAATTTCAGTTAAATTTAATTGAAATTCCAGGGCAGGGCAGTTTTTAAAACTATATCATCTGTTCAGACCTGACATTGGTCAGGTGGTGCAGTACCAGTCCAGTCGCAGAAGCTGTTTTATTGAATTTAATCCTTATGCCTTTGAATCCCAGTGCTCCGGCAACTTCCTCTTAAAGCACTGAGCGTCAAAATTTGCATATAAGATGTATGCAAAACCTTACCTTGGGTTCCATATGAAGATTTCACCCAATCCACTCCAACCTATACCTGGTACTTATCTGTACACGTTTTTGGAGTGTCTTATAATAGAGCACTTTGGTGCATTGTGGCTGTGATTATGTGTTTGGCTTGACTTCTTAATAGGTCTACCCACAGCTAAAAAATCTTTTTTTAAAGACGGATGGAGACGGGGATAACCGTAAACTGCAGTTTACTTGAGTTCATTTACAGAAATTGGTTTTCAAAGACATCCAGCTAAATTAAATTTTTCTAGGTCTACAATTGTGACAGCATGGTCAGATAATATTTCTCACATCAGGACTCTTTTTCAGTATCCCCCTTTCCTGTTTTTTTGCATGTGCATTTTTTTTTGTTTTCATACTGTGTGCATTGTTTTCAAAGCAAGTTGTCAGTATGCTTTAATATGAATTTGTATGGGTTGTCAGTCACATTTGTGAAATCCTCAGTAAAATAATGTGAAATGTGAGGTTATTTGTGGTGATCTGCTATCTCTTGTCTGAAGGGGCCATTTTCGAGTGGTATACATGACTCCAGAGTTTTGCTCAGGCAACGCGGCACTGATCAGACAGCTTGACAGTGATGTCGGTAAGTCACAACTGTTGTGCATGCTTAAACTGCCCTGTTCTCTCAGTAGGTGGCCCTGCTGATCGAGTCTGAAGTCTATGGGACACCTTTCCTTTTCCTATGAGTACATCAGAAGGGGTTATTGCTGAGTTAATGAACCAGGAAAGCAGCAAATTGGTTTCACGAGTAATTATATAGCCCTTGGCATTTTCTCAGTCAGTAGGTCTTGATGTATTACAGGGAATCCAAGTCAACAAAGATGGATTGTTTAAATTGTTTAAATTAGGTAGTTCTCAATTTAAGCAGCAAACATGTTCCTGAAAAGTGCAGCCTAAATCCCAAAAGCATAAATTAAAAAATAATGTCTTAAAAGAATGGATGTAAATAAAGGAGGATGCTTTCCAGCCCCACTCCCAACAAAGGGATGAAGACCCAAATAAAAACATTTGCACTTTTTTATTAATGTGAGATGAAGTCATTTTTAAAATAAAGTGGTGGGGTGTAGGCTCCAGTGGGCCTGTGACCTTGGATTGAATAAAGCAGTTTGAAAATGGATGGATGGTTTAAAATGCTTCAAGAACAAATTTGATTTAATTGGTAATTTAACAGGTCCGAGGCAGGATACCACATGGACAGAACACCGGTCCATTTCCGGGCACACACAGTCACAAGCATATACACATTCACACCAGGGCCAAATTTAACAGAAACCAATTAATATACCAGACTGTCTTTGGACTGTGAAACCAGAAGACCAGGAGGAAACCTAGGCGGACAGGTGGAGAACATACAAACTCCGTACAGACAGCACCATAGGAGCTGAACCCAGGGCCCAAATGCTCTGAGGCAGAAATGCTAACCGCTGCTCCACCATGTTGTGTTTAACCAAATGCTCACAAATTAAGAGCATGTACTGTAAATCAACAGTTTGCCTTTTCTTTATTTCTGATTGCCACAAGAAAATACAGGTCCCTCTTCAGGGTGTTTTGTAGAACATTGCACTTGTCCCCCATGCAGCTTATTAAATGCCATAGCTTAAACAGTAAAATGCCAAAAAACCATAGTTTCCATCATATTTGATGTGATGTATTCCTTATGCTGTGAAGAAAGATATATTGACTGTCTGAGCTTAGCACCCAATTAAGCACAGTAGATTCAGATCACTTCTGTGTGCCGGTTGCTGTGAAAGTTAATCATTTTTTTACTTCACTACGTTCACCACTGAATCATTAAAGGAGTTACTATCGGCAGGAAATTGCTGCTTTTTCACATATGCTTTGCACATCTATTTGTTTTCCTCACTTTAAGTCTGCTCTGGCAGGTAGTGATAACAGTGTTGTATGACGGGATGTACTGCAGCAGCCCCTGAAGATAAAGTTCTTTAGTCAATAAGTAACTGACAAAAATTAGTGTTATGCAATGGTAATGGCATATGCTTTTTTCACCCGGAGTATAATTCACAGTATGTTTGGTTTTTAGACAATGCATTCTACTGGTAAAAGAGTATTTTCCTGTATTTTTACACTCAGCAGTAATCTTAGTGTCTTCCATGGTTGAATTGTTCTGTTTTCTTTCATGTTCCTCTGCCTAGGTAGTTTGCTGTACAGAGCAACCAGTGCAAAGCTTCCGAAAAGACATTTGATACACTTGTGAAATGTGTCCATCAGGCACCACAATGTTTCTCAGACACAGTGGTATTGTGTGACAAAAATGTAAAACAATAAACTTTGAAAACTTTGTTTTAGGTTTTGTTGATACAGTATATCCTAGAAAAATGGTGAATAATATATGTACATCCCCATTTGGAATAGCCAATGTTTTTCACATTTCAGATCGCAGCTAGGAACTCTGGGATCACACTGACCTCACTGAATCTCACCCATGGGGTTTCAGTGGTCACTCTGTCACTGGGAGAGCCCGAGCTGCCTAAACTCACCCATGAACCCGCCATCATAAAGCGCAGTGTGCAAGCACATTATATTCTTTCTGCTTCCTCACTGTGATAATATTGTGCATGCTGATTGTAGTGACCACGTAAATGCACTGTGTGTTTGTGTGTGTTTCTTCCAGGCATCACACTGTTAGCAATAGATGAAGCTCACTGTATCTCTGAATGGGGCCATGACTTCAGGAGCGCTTACAGAAGCCTTGGGTTTTTAAAGAACATACTTCCTGATGTAAGTAAATTTATAATTTTCAACTGAGATTTAACCAGTTGACTTTGAAAACCCAGCAGAATGTGTCGATCAGAAATGCTGAGATATCACATAAGCAGATTCACTTTCATGAAGCTGCCAACAAACAAGAAGGCAGTGGCTTGGATTAGAGTTACATCAGATGGAACAGAAATTGATATAATTTTCCTAGCAGGAAAACGTTTGTTTCTTTCTGAATGGTAACTGTTAAAATTGTTTAAACAAAGCATTTATACTTAAATTTTATACTTAATACTTAAATACAGTTAAGTGGAAATCCTATGGATTTGTTTTTCCTACACTGTTTACCCTTTTTTGTTTAGTCTTGTTAATTGGTAAATATGAGTATTTTCTGACTTTTGGTACAATCTTCATTCATTTCAGTGAAAACTCATTTTTAAAATTTTAGACCGGCAACAGTGATTGTACTGTGTGACATTCACCCCTTTTGTGCTGTTTGTGTGTTTTCTGAGCCGGCTCTTTTCCTTGGGCAGGTTCCTATTGTGGCCTTGACAGCCACAGCGAGCCCCTCGATTCGCCAGGACATCGTGAAAAGCCTGAACCTGGCCAACCCACAGATCACCTGCACCAGCTTCGACCGGCCCAACCTCTTTCTAGACGTGCGCCGGAAATCTGGCGACGTCGTCAAGGACCTGAAGCACTTCCTCATCAGAAAGACGCCGTACGTGCACATCACAGTGCCACAACATTTAGAAAAGCATTTGAAGAGTTTTTAAGGACTCTTCTCTTTTAAGGAGAAGATTGCTTTTTATGATGGAATCTATGAAGTTAGAGAATTGGATGATAAAAGCGATTTTTGTTTTTATTTTAGAAGTTGTACCATATATAGTATATGTCTTTGGGAAATACACCTTCTTTGCTAAATTATTTTAAAATTTGGGATTTCAATTGGGCATCATGTCTACGACCTCTGTAGCATTTGGGCAAGACACAAACGTGACAGCTTATAGCCCACTTTGTCGGCTGATGTGCTAAAAGCTCCAAGGTGCCTTACAGGGGAGGTCACACTGAGTGGGGGAGCCGTGTTGCTCCCTGACATCACTGCATGCTTCCATTCATCTAGGAAGCTAATTTTCATTATTATGGTAATACAGTTTAGTATTATTACACACTGTGTGTGTTCTCAGGTGTTACGCAAAGAGTGTTTTATGTCCGACTTGAAGTTGTCTTTGGATGGAATACTGCAGAATTAAGGAAAGCGATATGGGGAAGACTGTGGAATGGGTTTATTAATATGTGGTGGTCCTTGAATAATGTGGGACGAGCTGTCTGAAAACCTGTTGTTGAAGCAGTTTAATTTTTTTCCTGTTAGATTGGATCATGAATTTGAAGGCTCTACCATTGTCTACTGCCCTTCAAGAAAATTAACTGAAACGGTTTCAGCCGAACTAACAAAACTGGGTGTTACTTGTGGAGCTTATCACGCTGGTATGGGAGTCAAGAGTAGGAGGGAGACACACCACAAGTTTGTGAGAGATGAGATCCAGGTAGGTGGAATCTTTCCTGTGCAACGTCTACTGTAGCTGGATTTGTTGATCCAAAATTGAGAATGAGTAACACTTTTCTTCTGGGAATTAATTTTGTGTCTTTCTCAGAACCTCTTTTTGTGAACACAAGTTTATGATTTGTAATTTGCATTCTATCTGGGTCTGCATTATTTGTGTAATCAAAGGTCTGGATATGTGGAGTTTTGTGACTGAGACAAGAAATGGGCCTCCAAAAAGAGAAAAATCCTTGTAAGTCTTAACTTTGATCTTTGTGTGGTTTTCAGTGTGTTGTTGCCACCATTGCTTTTGGAATGGGAATAAACAAGCCTGACATCCGCAAGGTCATCCACTATGGAGCACCAAAAGAGATGGAGTCTTATTACCAGGAAATTGGGCGAGCAGGAAGAGATGGGTTGCCCAGTACCTGTCATGTAGTGTGGAGCTCTTCAGACATGGTTTTAAATAGGTACTTTTCTTGTATACAAGCCAATGAATGTCAATAATGGAGTTCTTTGTAAAGTCAAGTGCTATGAAATCCCTGGCAGCTTTCTTTTAATGGGTTTTAAAGAAATCAAAACATTAACACCTGGGAATTAAAAAATCATCCTGATAGTATTTTGCTGTGACTGGTTTTTGTCCTGTCTGTTGGATTCTGATCCTTACATACTGTACAATACAGAGCTTTTGAAAGTTTTGTTTTTTGTTATGTTTTGTTGTTTTCTAACCTTTCTGGAATTACCTTCTGGTAGTCAATACAATGTACAGTATATTCCTTCCACAGGCATCTCCTGAGCAGTGTAAAAAGTGAAAAGTTTCGAGGATATAAGCTAAAAATGATGGCGAAAATGGAGCAGTATCTTAACTCCTGCAAATGTAGAAGGAAGTAAGTCCATTTGGAGAGTTTTGTGATAAGTCACTTTTTAGTCTTTCTCAAGATAGAGTTGAGTAATTCTGAAAGTCAAACAAAGATTGTGGACTGAGAAAAAAAAGTCATTGTTAATGAAAACACTGAAAAGTGTAGTGAAGGCAGACAGTGATGAGGTTGCCCCCTTTTAAGGAGATTGATAAAAGCCTTGAGGTCTTTATTTCAGTACTGAAGCAAAGCATTGTGCAGGATTTTTTTAAACCTGTTCTAGCTGTGTCCTAGCTGGGTTTCCTTAATAGCCAGGTACGAAAATATCTAGCGACAAGCACAGTTCAATACCTACTTCCTCATCTCAATAAATTTCTCCATCCTGCAATTGAAGTGGCAGTTAGAGTGACTTCTTCTGCCCCCTGTCTCCTGTCAGACACTTATAGTTTCATAGTTTCTTGAACTATTTGTAGTTATCAGCAGTCTGCATATTATTTCAGAATCTCAAAGACATGTTTTTAACAAAAATTGTTAAACATAAGCAACGCTTTGTAGGTACAAACTCATCAATGCATCTAGTTATAGTTATAGTTAGTTATAGCATGAAGATAAACGCATAAGGTTACCAATGTTCAGATTACAGTTATGTTATACGAAAGATATAGAAAAAATGAAAATATTCCTTCAGTAGCATTCACTTCTTTACATGACCTGCTATAAGTCTATATACTGTACATTTCAAGTATGAAAACTTATTTTGAGTAGAATCGCATCTGCTCATCATACAGATACTGTATGCATTCATACCTCCAGCTTGTGGAACCTAAAATGAATCAAAACTTTTACACAGGGAGCTATTCCTCATATAAATTCACAATTATAGTCTTATTAGTTCTCCCCACAAAAAGTTTGAATTGTTGAGTTTTAGAAAGTGTTACTGTGTGTACTATTCTCATCTGCGTTCATACTTTAAAATCTTTCATGTAGACTAATCCTGTCCCACTTCGAGGATAGACAGCTACGAAAGGTCACCTCTGGCATCATGGGGACAAGCAAATGTTGTGACAACTGCAGATCAGGGTGAGTACTAAGCTGGTGCCCTGTTGCATCCTTTGTAATCCAGAGCTAATTCATCGAAGAGTCATTTGTCTTTGAACATCAAAGATACCTTAAATCTAAGCACTTCCTCTTTAATCATATTGTCTCAATCTGATATTGCTGTACAGTTGTATGTATTGTATTGTATTTCAAAGTGTTGTATTTTAGTTCCAGACTAGTGCCACCCAGCTTGGCTTTGAGTTTTTGATTGAAGGGGGGAATTAGGATCACTCTGCAGGGGTGTCTTTCAGGTCAGTATATAGCTCTGATGTAGAAGACAGTGAGCCCAGCCTACAGGACTTTGGGAAGGAAGCCCATCAGCTAATGGGTGCCGTCAGTGCTCTGGGAGGAAAGTTTGGCACCTCTGTTCCCATCCTTTTCCTCCGTGGATCTGTGAGTACTTCCTGCAGCATTTCCTGTGTACAATCACAGAGCAAGACACTTAGACATTGCCTCTCTATAATGCTGCTTTCATCCATATTTCAAAGCTTTGATTCCTTTAACTTATCCCCGGAAGCAGACAGTGCTTTCAATCTACTTGCTTGCACCTGCGAAGTACTGTGTCGACACAAAGCTGTTTTTTAAGGGATAGAGATGAATAAATAGTAGATACCCTTGATTTTGAGTAGTGTGCAACAAACCCATTATACTTGAAAATGTGTAGTAGCCTCCTTAAACTTGAATGATCACTTATTTTCAATTTCTTATGATCTTGAATTGTTTCCTAATCAGTGTTCCTTCCCCCTGCTGAGTACTGATTTGCTTCATATACCTCTTACAGTGTATCTCTGTATAAGAATCTAGTAGAATGTATAAATTAACGTATATACTTTGTTTATTTTTTTTATTCCCACTATTGCCCAGCAAGCAGTTTTGCTAAAAGCATTAATTTTTAATTAGTAATTAAGTGTATTTACAGTATATAGTGGATGATGTGTGGCATTCATTATGCATCTGCAGCCCCAGTACACAGCAGATTAGGCAGAGAAGTAAGAATTTGGAATTAAAGGGAATCTTTTATGCCATCTGGATTATGCCAAGCACAGACTGGAATTTAGGCAGGACACCCGGATTAACACTCCTCCTCTTATAAATGCTGTTGGGAGATCTTTAATAACCAAGCGTTCAGGATTTCAATTTAATGTTGTACCCTAAGTATGGTATCTCTGGTACCACAGTGAGTTCTGTTCACCATACTGAGACATTGGTTTGGCAGTTGTGTCCCAGAGAAAAGAGCATCTGCCAATAGCATAATGGTTGCATTACCAACTCATCACATGTGTTTAAAATGCATCTTGTGTCTGTTATGAATCAGCATTCCCAGCGGTTACCAGACCGATTCCGCAAGCATTGCCTGTTTGGCTCTGGGAAAAACATTCCGGATACCTGGTGGAAAGCCCTAGCCAGACAGCTCATCTCCGAACAGTACATGAAGGAAGACTCTGGTCAGAACAGGTTCGCCACCATCTGTAGTCTCACTCCGAAGGTATGCTTCGCTAATTACAAACTCCTCTTCTTTCCTAGCTGGGGAGAAGAAATAGACTTGACTGTAGTCCTTTTCCATTCTCGGGCTCCACCATTGTGACATTAAATTAACTTGCTGTCTAGATAATGTAAGCCATTGGTGCTTTTTCCCCATAACATTTACGTAGTACAAAACCTTTTATAACCACATAAAGATGTGTTCAAGTTCTGGAAATGCAGAAGAAAAAAGTACATTCAGATTATGCAGTTGTAAATCATATACATTTAGTCAAGAAGCTGCATTTTTTGAGTTAAGAAATCATGAAAAAACCAACAATTTTCATGAAAATGTAGAACCCTGTTAGCTCTGCAATTAAAACAGACCTGCAGGCCATTTAAACAGTAAAAAGGCAATTTTTACAGGATTACCAGCTTTAAGCATGCCATGATTGTCAGTTAATTTGTTTTCATTTGACCTTTTATTACATTTTTGTTCTGGATTTTAAGTAACTTGGCACCTAATCACTACAAGCAATGTATCAGCATTATTCAACATATTGTTTTCTTTTTGATTTGCCACTTGCTAATGCTACTGTTGATCCAAATGTCCTTCTGTGTTTTTTTTTCTTATTTCTGCTGCTGTTTGAGAGTTTACCTTGATTTAAACTGATGGATAGAAAGAAGGTAAATGGCAGTGCTATACCTTTATGCAGCAATATATAATAATTATAAAAAGCTGCCAGGTCCTATATTTTTTCTGTGGAAGTAAAAGCAGTAAGATCAAAGCAACTCCTGACAAAAAGAAGACAGAGGGCTGCTTGGAGGAGTGACGTCTCCCGGAGGCCTTTTCAGGTTTGGGTTTGGGGGATTGGTTAGAAATTGTGGTGAAGGTGGGTAAGCAGACATGTCAGAGAGAGGTGTTCACCCCTTTTGGGGTCGCTCCTGTACAGAGCTGAACCTGCACCTGGAGCAAGTGCTATTACTGACAAACCGACTCGCAAGTCCTTGCTTTCTGTTCCTTTAATACAAAAGGGAAATTATTAAATCCGAAGTGAACATTTTCTGATTCTTTTTAATTTGCAAGAGATTTATCCCATGGTGGCCATTCTTACAAAGTTAAAACGTCCTATTGAAAGACAAAAAAAAAAACAACCCTAGCACACTGGCAGAATGCAATTTGTTGCCAAAAAAATCTGTTAGCTGTTAGTGGTTAGGTTTTGGCAGGTGTAAAATAAAAAAGTAAGCTTTCAGGTGATCTTATATGTGAGATTGAGGGTGTAAATTAAAGACTTCAGTTAAGGACATCCTTCACCAGGCCTCAGTACAACAGTGAGATGTGAGATATTAGTGTTGACAGCAAGAGTCACATCAGTCCATCCATCAGTGCAGCGGGGTTCCCAGTTAGAGTTTTTATTATAATTTTCTATTCCTGTTTTTAAAAAATGATTAAAAAAGGAAGCATAAATTCAATCTCTATTATGCACATCAAGAGCATACTGTAGCAGCCTTTTATTTTCTATTTCTTTATTAAAATGTTTCTCAATAATTTAAATTGTTATCTATAGAGAATCAAGTATCAGTTTCCTTTGGAAACATACTGACAAACGATAAAAATGCAACAGTTTTGAGGTTCAGAAATAGAAATGGTAACAGAAATGGATTCACTGTTCTTTTCATGTTTCCCCTTTAAAATATTTGATATTGACACTTAAAATGGACAAAAAATGTTACAATGTTTTAAGGGTCAGATCAAATGTTTTTTTCCAAACTGACAACAACAAACTGAACTATGACAACTTGTGTTAGTTATATAGTTAGCAAAAACCATGATGGATATGACCACGTTCTCCTGAGTAATGATGATCACCTAGTTGTTATTGGCATATTTGAATGCAGCTAGTTTGGGAAAGACGTTACTGAGATGATGAGATGTTCGGCTTCAACAAACAGCCATCTGGTCCAGAGAAAGTGCTTTTTTTTACATGTTTTTTCATTTGTAATTTGTATTGTAAATTTCAATTTCATTTGTAAGTAATACATACCATTATGATGTATGACATATATTAAAGTTAATACCAGCTTCTACACATTACTTGATTACATACTGTAGGTCAAGTGCCTAATAATGTATGAGTGACAAATAACTTTAATAATTAATTATTTTAATAAATACATATTTTGTGCAGCTTTACAATATCATTTAACTCTATAAATAGGTGGAATTGTTGATTGACTATTTTGAATTAATTAAAATAAAAAATAAAAAATATTTGCTTGAAAATGATCTGCATAGTCAGAGGTCATTCAGGGGTAACATTGACAGCTGAGAAATGAAATTGCTGTCTTCTGTGGGACAGAGGGCATATGAGGTGGCGACAGAAAGACTATTGGATTGCTTTTTTTTGCCAAAGAATGATATTTTGCCCTTGACAGACGTGAAAATTATACTGACAGTCAGATATTTTCAAGTCAACCAGGTGGGCTGGTGAAGGTGTAACATATTTAAAGAGATTCATTCCCACAAGAGCACCTTTGTCCAGTGTACCACTCAGCAGCAAGCATTCAACCTGTACCAAAGTCCTTGAGCCAGCAGTTCTTCAGTTTCTGCAAACCATTCTGTGAGTGTCTGTTTAACCATGGGACACAAAGCAAGACCACACAGTGCTGGAATTCCAATTGTACAACTTCTCTTGACCATTAGTCTGTAAGGCCATCTCACCAATGCCTTTGACGGCTGCCAGATGCACAGGAAGAGTGATATAGCCTTCCACAGCAGTCTGTCCAGAGGGTGATCAGGTCTGTGCATCTGCATTCCCAGGGTTGTGTTCATGCTCAGGGAGGCCATATCCAAGTCAAACTTTGTAATGTTTGTATTTGAACAGAGTTTCAACTTCTTATTTAAAGTATATCAGTTCTTTGATCCGAGATTTTTTTTAATCTGTTTAAAGTATTTCGCTAAATCCTTCAGACCTGAATGTGGCATTTCTTTTATCTGCATATATATATACTGTATGGTGTTGTTGTTACCTGCAGGGCAAGACATGGCTCAGCAAGGCCAGTAGTGGGACGCAACAAACTCTTCTGCTTCCGCCAAACAGCGATCTGTACGCCAGGATCGTAAATGTGCCAAAGTAAATGATTTCCTTCTTCACTCACATATAACATGCTGCCCATGCTTAAAGAGTGGCCAAGCAGAACAGATGCTAAACTTCTCTTTGTGCATTTTCAGTAGGTTGAAAAAATTCTCAAAATATTTAATAAGCGAGAGTGAGAAGTTTTAATTAGAACTGTTTAATTAAAAACCACCTTTAAATCGTACACGTAAAATGTTGAAGAAAAAATCCACAAGGGAAATCTTTTCACAGTCAGGCAGCTGGTTTCCAGACAAATGTAAAACTGCCTCTGTCATAGATGTTTTATGCTTCCCAGACAGATCAATCTGCCATCTCTTGTTGAATTTTATGCACTGTGTATTCGCTCTCAACACTTACTATGCCTGTGTATCTCTCCTGTTCTCCCTTTTTAGAAAAGTGAAATTCTCTAACCAACATTAATAAAGAGAACACATTAATAATGTGAGAGCATTATTTTCTAATCCTTTGTTACTGTTACAGAAGGTGTATAAGACTCTTTTATAGCAAACAGTAGAAGAACATTTTCCAATAGCTATGCAGATTTCCTGAGGATCCAGAATTAAATACAGTTGCACTGTTAAAATTTTGGTTTTTAAATGTATTGTTGTGACTTGTACTGCTATGGTGATGGAATGGTGTCCTTTATGGTTGCAGGTCACATCAGATGTCTTCACCTACCACGTCTTTTTCATCAGCCAGGCAGCCAACAGTGGCACTACAGGTGAGCGTGGCCACAGTCACCACTCATCTCTGTTCTAAGTTATGCATCAAAAGCTTCAGGAATGTTGTATAAGAGACGAGATTTTAGCTGAAAGCGAAAGATCTTCTGGAAGCTCATGTGAAACGTTTCTTTTCCCTCACAGAAATCACCAGCTTCCAGATTTTCTCCGGCTGACAGCAGAAAATGTCCCAGCACTGTAAGCTCTGCAACTACAAGGTATTAAGCAACACTTTAGTCAATCATATGGTATATACCAGATGAAAATATGGTAAAAGTAAAAAAGTATGTACATTTTGCAAGTGATAAAACAGCTATGTAGTGTAGACCTATCCATTATATCCAGTGAGTCAGTGAGCAACATTATAACATTTATTTTTTAACAGTAACATTAATCGGAAGTGTAAGATGTAGATGCTTATTAAATGAGGTTACTAAAAAAATAGAGTTATTTTGAATTGAATATTCTTGTACAGTATGTGTGCTTCTCTCTTTAATATGTTAGAGGTCCAGCTGTATCTTGTGTGCTTTTTTTGCTTAAGGCCACAGATTTCCTTGTCACTCCAGCATCCCAGTAATGTCTCTTTGCCATCCCACGCACCTCCTGTTTCCCCCCGAGATCTGGAACTTCAGGTAAGGAGGAGGAGGAGAATAACAGCATGTTTAAGTGGTGCTAGAAAGTCATTCAAGATGCAGCACGTATGTTTTTCAGATGTCTATAGTGATGTTGTATTCGGCCGAGTTGGAGAACATATGTAGCTAACAGTGTTGCTATAGATATTGCTTCATCAGTTTAGTTTTGTTGCATTTATACTAAAATCTCACATTAGTTAAGAGTGTTGTGATTAATTAAAGGGTGCTTAGCACTGGGCATTAGCGAAAGAGCGGTGTGTATGGAAATGGAGGTGGTCAGAAGCAGGGCTGTGTCTTTAATGAATACAGAAAAGGACACAGGGAAACACCGAGTTCCACACAGTTTGTAATGCTAGAAGAGCCCACTGTTGTATATCAGAGGTCCCTTTTAAGTCATACATATGGGCTGTGTAATTGTTATCTGTACAGAGCAATAAGGTTTAAATCATCTTAGCTTGAAAAGCAATGCCACCTTATTTTGAACTGATCCAATTTCATAACGCCTGTCTGGTTGTGCTCCTAATCAAGCATCCTGATTCCCATGTGAGAAATAGGAGCATTCTTAAGGCTAAGAATGCCGCAGGGGAGTGGGAAAGGAAGGCCGCCAGATTAAAAAGGGAGTGCAAAAAGTTCATTCCTCCACTATCTGAAAGCTGCTTATGCTGGTGAGGGTAGCAGAGAGTGCAAAGCAGTCATGAAAATTAAATCCCTTTTTTTTTTGGCGAACACCTACCAGGATGATGTAGGTGTTGTTAGAGCATGTACAGTACTTGATAAGTCCTGGTGAAGTGTTATCATTCTCTGAATGACAGTACTCTATGACCCACTTAGTGGATACCATAACAGGTTAGCTGCTTTTGTAAGTCTGAGGTTCTGCTTAAGGCAGTTGGTCTAGGGCCCAGCAGCTTGAAAACACAGTTTTTAATTTTCTGATTTTCACTGTAAAATTATGCTAGTTAAAATAACTAACATTTCTTATTACAGAGAGTTGATACATTTTTCATCTTCTGTTTCACTCTAGAGTGATGTTGAATCGAATACAGAGAACTCAATTTAAGTGTCTCCTACTTTGCTTCTGCTGATCTCATGAAAGTAAAATTAATTTAGATCTAACTAAAATACTGCTTTATTTAAATTTTAACACCCTTGAGAGTTTCTGTAGAGTCAAAAACTTCACCACAGTAAGTAAAAACACATTATAAACTGCACGTATTATGAATAAATCAAAGAACCGAACCTTGAGTCTGAAATGCCATGTTACTAAACGACGGGAACTCTCTTGCTGTTTGGAAGGGAGTGCTGTATAGCAAGCTGGTGGCGGGGCGACAGAAGCTGGCCACTGAGAAGGATATTCCTCCAGCTGTAATGGCCACTAACAAGATACTCCTCGACATGGCAAAGATACGGTATGTTATAAATCTATCTGAAGCACGTGAAGAAGCAGTTGTGCAGGAAAACATTATTAAAAAGAAAATGAAAAAATGCTTAAAGTCCAAACTTTTTTGAGGCTGTGGTTTGCCACTCTTAGGGAACAGAGGTAACAAAGCTCTGTGAAGGAATTTACCCCATTTCCTATTTGCCTGAAGTTTGTTTCTGAGTGATGACAAACTGACAGATTGAGAAAACTGGGGAATAAACTGACTGATAGGCATTCTGTGGCTTCCCCCTTTCAACCACAAGTGCTTACCTGAACACATGTTCTCTTGCTCAGTAATCAACAGATTTCCCATGAATTCCAAAAATGAGCTATACATTTTACATAATTACCGTTTCCTACTACATATGACATTGTTTGGATGCAGGTGAAGAGGCAAGCAAAATAATCAGTGAATACAACACTGGATCCACCACTCGGGACAGGGAATATTTGCTCATAGAAGGAGTTGGTTCAATTCCCCGATGGGGAGATAGTTGACTCACACCCAAAGAAGGCTCCACAGCCGTGTTCCTTTTCTTCTCTTTTCAGCATGGAATAAACCTTTACTTGTTCCTGTGCAGCCTACGCATGCTGATGCAGCTATCTACTTGAAATACTTCATCCAATATGCCTTCCTTTAAATTTTTTTCTAGATCTCTTTGTCATTCCTCCTCCTCCTGGGCTACTTTCCCCTTCTCCTCAGTAAACAAGAATTCCGTCTCTTCACAGCGACACCTGAAGAAGGCTCCACAGCCAAAACGTTGTTTCTTTTCTAATCTTTTCACCGTGGAATAATCCTTTACTTGTTTCTTTGCTCATAGAAACCATTTAATTGTTTGCTGCTTCCTCTTTGTTTTTCTGTCTGGTCCTGCACTGTGTCATACCATTTGACCTATCACTGTTCTCTGACTTCTCTAGTGCCACAATAATGTAGAAAATCATTTACTGTGATTATGCATATAAGGTATACATTTGTATGTAGTAAATAGTCGCTGCCTGTTTGTTAATGATGGAAAAACACAAACCTACATGCTTTGTTTTCCAAATAATGTCTTTGCATATTTTACTGTCATCCAAGGGGTGAACAATACAATATCGGGTTTTCTGGAAAATCTTTTTTTTTTTGGAGTGAACTCGGCCACCTATCCATTTTGTAAAAATGCTATTTTACTGTATTTTAAGCAAGGCTGTCTTGACTCTTCCCTCAGGCCTACTACAGTTGAAAATCTGAAGATGGTCGATGGGGTGTCAGAGGCAAAGTCCAGCATGCTGGCTCCGCTTCTGGAAATCGTCAGCAAGTTCTGCTGTTCAAATGGCCTCCAGGTACTGAAAATAGAGGCTTGAAAGAATATGATGTGCATCCTATATTTGTGTTGCAGAACAATTACCTAAATCTTTTTAAAGAATGGGGTTATTCAGCTTTTTTGGAATTGTGCAGAAGTGGGTTCATGTGATGATCAGATTGTTTTTCATGTCCTTTGAAGGCCCTCCTACCAGTTAAAACCCCCGGGCTACATTGTGTTACTTTATAGACTGCATTTGATAAAAAAGGCCAATGAAATTAAGAGTTTCTGCATTGAAAACTATAACCTGTGTGGTCAGACTCAATCCTTGTTTCTTTCCTTCCTAGGTAAACATGTTATCCAGCACTCCTTCTTGTCCGGAAAGGGTGAATTCAGGAGTGCGGCCTGCCTGTGCTGCGCTGTCTGACAGTGTTGATATCACATACAGACTTTTCCAGAAGGAGAAAATGAGCTTGGTAAGCCGATTGTATCACAGCAGCGCAGGTTGAGTGAAGTTCATCTAGGTTTGAGAAACCTGAGTGTCTCACATTTTAAAAAAACAAGTGTGCAATTGTGTTTTGAAGTGGCAGTAAGAGTGTATCACAGGCTAAAAGAAAGGTTAATTCCCTTCAAGAATACCACACCTACTTGCTTTGATGAATGGGACTACGGTGCAGGCAGGGGAAGCCTGGATCAGTTAGAACTGGAGCCTGGGAGCACCACATGATTAGACTCATCACATTAAAAAGGCATTTTCACTAAATGATCACATAAGACGCCTTTCCTAGTGATCAGTGCTAATAGCTTATGCTCTTACTAACAATAATGACTACAGCCCTCAGTGCACACATTTACACTTGATTGTTTTTATGTCTATGGATGGGTGTAATGTTTAAGAATGACCACAGCATTGGTCCTTAGCCCATAAAAGAAAGGTGCCTTCCCACAGGTGAATAACTGCAGCACTGTGTTTTTTTTGCCTTTATTCTCGTGTGCCTGAGCGCTCTGTGCTGATGCAGTGGTGTGTTGTGTTTGCAGACAAAAGTGTCTAACAGCAGGGGTCTGCCGCTGGCTGTGGTGGGCTCCCACCTCCTGCAGGCAGTGAAGGCAGGATGCCCCCTGGACATGGACAGAGCTGGGCTCACTGCTCACACCAGGAGGGTTATCACCAATATCATCACAGATCCCCCCATCAACTCAGGTACCCTGACACCAGTGAGGTCTTAGTATCTAAAAAGAATACAGTATACAGTATATATATGTGTAATGCAGTGCATTGGATATTCCCATAAACCTAACAAGAACTAAGGCTTCATACTGAAGTTTACAATTTTGCTAAAATAATAACAGTACATTAAAATGAATCAGAACAATAATAGAAATAAAGTTTTATTTCCAGTGAGAGAATGAAACAGATTTTGCTGAATGTCGTTCATTTTCACTTGCTGCACGGGAATCAGCCCACAGAGCAGTAGCCAGGTACTTTCTGAGGCTTAAGGGGCGTGAAAGTGTGAAACAAGCCACCCAGCCACGTTGTTGATGCTGATACCGTGGATTCTTTCAAGAAACGGCTGGAATAAATTAGCTACTAATCGGTCCCAGTCTCATGTTCTCATTTGTAACCATTCTTATGTTCTGCCTGTGTCTTCTCTTCACTTCAACCAGGAAGCACTTGAATTCATTTCAGGATATCAGGACAGGCCAGCTCAGATCCTTTCTTTATTTTATTTAATTCATTAGATTAAAAAGAATCTTTTATGTATTTTTGGTCTGCAGTGAAGGTTGTAATTACACTTCAAAGATTCTCTTGTGAACCCAGCATGCTTTGTTGAAAGAAGAAAGGCGTCAGCATTAGAAATGTTTGTGAACGCCGGTGCGATTAGTGGACTGTTTGTTGTTCATATCGTATTTCTGTGGTCCCTTCTATGCTTAAATTAATTGCCATGATAACAGTTATCTATTCTTCAATTAGGTGTTATATCTGAATGAAGTTAATGCTATTGACTCTTTCTCTTGAATTTAGCTAAATCAGATTTTGTGCCCAAATTCCACACATGCATTTACAGTTTTTGAATATATTTCCTTAGTTTTTCATAGAGTGTGTGATATGTGAAGAAATTTTACCTAAATGATCTACATAATTGAGCAAAACTAAAAAAGGCTGTTTACAGGTTGTAGGTTGTATGGTGTGTCATTGCTTTGGGCGCATCATGTTCTGGTTTTAAAGCCAAGCAGTTTCCTGCGTTAATTCAAGCAATTGTGTGTGACAGCAGAATTACATCTACAAATGGCATTATTTTTGGAATGATTTTGAAGTTTGGAATGATTAGAAAGATAATTGTAACATCACCGTCTCAGAGCCATTGTGTATGTATTTTCATAGCTCATAGAAATATGCTTCCTTTTGGTTTGTTTGTACATGCAACACATTACATGTAATTTGCAATGAATATGTAAAAAAACATGGCATTCCCATATGATGCTCTTTTCATCTATCAAAAGGCCAATTTAACTATATAAGCTTCTGCATAATTGTGAGTGGGTGCGCCCCATCCTTAATATTTGTTTTGTTTTCAGATGTCAGCAATTTTAAGGCAATCAGAAATTTGGTCCCCGAGGAAATTGACACTTTCCTTATTAGTCTGACGGTGGCCTTACTGCAGAAGGAAGGAGACTGTGGACCAGAGAGGGCTGCGTGCTCAGGACTGAAACCGAGTCCCACCCCCTGCAGCAAACAGCTGGAGTGGATAGAGACAAAGGTGTGTGTTCCCACTGGTCCACTGTTGTACAGGCAACCCATTTCATCCAACTAGAGATTTTACATTCATTTCAGTCTCAGCGCAGAGTGACCTCTCTTACTTGTGGATAATATCTTACACAGCAGTTGAACATCCATTCATGAACTGCCCTCTTCACTCCATTCTCTCCACTTTGTGGTACCCCTGGTCTTCGAGAGTCCTGATCCAGCATGTTTTAAAGGCAGCCAGTAAATCATGAATTTCTAAATTGAAACAATTTAACTGTGTTCAATTAAGCATCTGATTTTTTAACATGAGTAATTTGAAGAACATTGGAATAAACACCTCGGCACATAACAAACACCCTGTTCACCCTGTTCATAGACTCTAAAAAAATGCTTTTGGGTGAGAATGACTGGACTGGGGAACTCCAGGCCAGGGTTGAAGACCCTTGGTTAATATTATACAGCAAACCTTGTAGACTAACCCTAACCCTTACAGTATATCACAGCCCAAGAGCTGCATCAAAATGAACAGAAATGTCTAGTAGCCATGCTATATAGGATGGAATACACCCGGTTGTGATAGTTCAATGTAAAATGTCTTTTTTTCACTTGAAATTTAGAAATCAGTATCAGTTATTTGCTTGGGCACTTGTTTTTTCAAACAATTTCAAAACCCTGATCCTATGAGGGATTGAAGTGAAACATAAATAGTGAAGTATCTCTTCACTCCCCTACTAACATGCCCACATCTTGTTTTCTGTGATACAGACTTGAGACAGCAGCAGAGGGAAAGGGTTAGGGAAGTAATACAAATTAGCATTTTTTAATAAAAAAATATAAGCAGGGCTAAGTTGAGAATGGAATTTGAGGAATTTTAATAAAACTAGAAAATCACATAAATATAAGGGATATAAAGAAATAATAGAACAGTTTAAGAGATGCATCAAATAAACTGCATACAACCCTTCAAGAAAATGACAAAAACTGCTTTTCCACAGAAAAAGTGCTTAAGATATACAAACAGAAGAGGGCAGCAGAGTGCCATTAAAGAAAGCACTTTTACCACAAATTATTCCTTGGCAACACAAATCTGCCAATGCTTCAGTATTTTGTCTTTAAATGCAAAGAGCTGCTAATTACATCCAACCTCAGCTTAATGTCCTGATCATGTCATTTTAGTTCAAATGTCTGGTAGTTGCATATTTAATTCTTATTTTAATTTAAACAGTAGTACCTTACAACGCATTGATCACATATTACATGATATCACCATTCCCTCGTTTCCAATTTTCATGAATAGGTTTATAAAATGGACAAACATCTTCTTGTTAAGATATTTTTAAAAACAAGGTATCCATTTTTTTCCAAAGTACATACTGTCTCTCAAGAGCTCACTCGATGGAATCAATTAGCTAGTGAAAACCAAATGAGCTGCATGATTGAGTGACCTCCTGTCATTTGCAAAATGAATGTTCTTCTTGTCTTCCTTCACCTTCTCCTTTACTTTTCTAATTTGATTTTTTTAAAACTTCATTCTTAAGTTAAGTTAGCAACATGCAGAGAATCTGAACACAATAGGTCATTTACATATAGTCTAATTAACATACCTCTGGAAATCTATTAACTGTGCTTTGCAGAAGCACACTGTGCCGAACCCACTACACCACTGTGGAGAAGATCCACCTATTTATCTATCTATAGTCTAATATAGGGTCGCGATGAGCTAGCAAGGCAGGATACGTTCTGGACAAAATGTCTGGCCACTGCAGGGCACGCACATTCGCTCACACACCAAGCCAAGGTGTAACCTTCAACATCATGTTTAGATAGCTGGGTTTAGACTCCCACATAACTCTGTGTAACAAAAGTTTCTGATGATCGTGTTATGTCCCCCAATATGGCTCAGTCTAGGGGCGAATGGGGGCTAACATGTGAGCCAGGGTTTATCGGACGGAAATACACACAATGATGGTTAAGATAGTATGTTTCTATGGAAATGAGATTGCTTCAGCCCAAGGATCTCTATCACCAAAACACTTTAAAATCCCCTTAGGAAGTCACTCTGTATTTTTAAGTACATTGCAAAATTGACACTTTGCGTTACTTTATTTTTGAAAAGGACTAGGTTGCTATTTCCATTTTTTGTAGGTGTGTTTCAGTTACAGATATCTTCTTAAATTTCATGCCTTGAATGTCCCTTCCTTCTGCTTATTGTGACTATTACATTTCGTCATTGTATTTTGTGTTGCGTCACGTGGATACATTAAAGATCAAAATTAATTGGACTACTCATTGGTATTTTAAGTTCGTGTCTGTCATTTAAAATACCTCCTCAATATGGTTAATTGGGAAACATACTGTAGCAGGATCTGTTTTTAGCTCATGAGGAAGGTGCAGAAAATAAAACCTTACATGGATCAGACTGCTAAGCACCAGGAGTGTTGTTTCCAGGGAGTGTGGGCATCCGTTGTAAGCAAAGATATCAAATTGACAGGGATACATCTCAGGCACCTACTGAATCTAAACCACATCGATATGAAACACCCATATCTGATATGATGTTAGTAAGTAACAATTTATAATCTAGCTGTGCTCAGAAAACCTGGTGAAAGTAACAACATATTACTCTTACTGCATCTTTTATTCTTACTTCAGAATTTAAATGTATTTTCTGATGGCCATACGTATAGACCCAGAGGCCAGATGGGTCAGTACTTTTGAGGGTGTTGGTAGACGGTACCATTTTTGCAAGTTAAGATGGGCAGGGACAAGTCTTGTCTTGAGTGACGAACACGTCCAGTGTAAATGCAGTAGTTTAAATGCCAGTTCTCATTTAGGAGAAGCCTGTAAAGAAAAAGACATCACGACCCCATTCTTCTGAGACTTCAGTGAAGATGGATGATTTGGAGATTGAGGATGAGCTGCTTAGTGAAATTCCCATGCCTGAAGTTGAGGTAATCTCTAGTAATACTAAAGCAGTACTTTTTAGAACGAAATCTCGTTTTATAATGCAGTATGAGGTGTTTGTCTTACCCCGTCTCACTTTCTTAGTCCCTTGACAGAAAACTTCAAAACAAATAGTAAAAAAATAGTTTTGTTATTACATACAACATTACATTAGATTTTATTCTCTGTTGAAAAAGTGTGAGATTGGCCTTAATTTCCTAAGGCCATACACAACTTCTAACAAATGTCTAAAAATAGGAAAAAAGGAAGAAGAATATAATGTGACAGAACTGGTCAACAAGGAACATTCACAATCTGCAGCCAGCAGCCATATCACCCTGCAACTCACTACAGGCAGCCCACTGAAGCTCAGCAGGTGTGAGCCTGGTCAGTGCTTGGATGAGAGACCTCCTTTCCTGGGAAAGCTATGGTTGCTGCTAGAAGAGGTGTAAGTGGGGCCAATGGCAGGCACTTACCCTAGTCCTGACTCTCTGTGGTCATTAAAATTCCCAGGGTGTTTCTCGAAAAGTGTAGGGGTGTAACCCTGTCCTGGCCAAATTTCTCATTGGGCCCTACCAATCATGGCCTCCTAATAATCCCCATCTATCAACTTCCTTCATGGATATGGATTATCCTCGCTACTGATAGCTGATGTGTGGTGAGTGTACTGGTGCACTATGGCTGCCGTCACATCATCCAGGTGGGGCTGCACATTGGTGGTGGTGGTGGAGGGGAGTCCCCATTACTTGTAAAGCGCTTTAAGTGGAGTGCCCAGAAAAACACAATATAAGTGTAATTATTATTATTATTATTATCATTATTATTATTATTATTATAGATATACATAATGAAGGACCAAATTGTCCCACATTAATGTGTGTTTTAGGTTTGCCATGAAGGATGCTGATTTTGTCGATTGTTTCTCGCAGGTGAGCATGAGCCCTCGGGACACTGCCGCCTCCTTCGGTTCAGAGTGTGATGCAGCACCGAGAGCCATGAAGAACAACCTTGCAGTCAGCATGGCCTCCTGGAACCAGGAGCAGCTGGACGAAGACACACAAGAGCTCTTCAGAGACTCGCCACCTAAGGTATGTGCTGCTGCCATCCTTGTTGGCAAAGGAAAAAAAAAGGTCCGCCTAAGATCTCATGGAGGCAGTGCAGTGATTTTGCCGTTCCTTCACCAGTTGTGTTTCTTTTACCATATTAAATGATTTATTGGATAGAGCATTGTACATGGTAATGTATCCCATACAGTGTTATTACAGTGTACCACAGTATCCGGTACAGCAATAGAGCATTACTCTGTTGGGTAAAGCACTTTTTCCATTTTCTAACTGTTTTATCCAATACAGGGTTGTGGGGGAGCTGGAGCCTATTTCGGGGAAACAACGGGCACAAAGAGGGATACAGCCTATATGGGAAACCACTCCGTCACAGGGCAGACACAGACACAGACACACTCACACCACAGCCAATGTTTCCAGAAGCCAATTAACCTCCCAGCATGTCTTTTGTTTGTGGGAGAAAACCAGAGCACAGAGAGGGGACCCCAACGTAAACAGGGGAACAACAAACAAATTCCAGATTGCACCCCAGGTCTAGAATTGAACCAAGAATCCCAGCGCGATGAGACAGCAATGATATTACTGCCACCACTGCCCCATTATTGCCAACGCCTGTTATTGACTTGATTATTTTTATTGTGCTTATCTGACATCTCTGAATAACATCAACACTCTTACAGATCTAAAATAGCCCCATCCATTGGGAAAGAATAAGCATTTGAATAAAGGAACCAGTTTGTCTTCTTTGACATTTAACATGAAAATAATATGAAATATAAATTAATAAAGATACCACTGCAATCTGTTAAACACCATTGAAGGGTAAGCACTGCCTTAAAAATAATGATGAATATTTTTAATCTTCTTTCTACAGCCTTGTCTCGTGCCCATTTTTTATTTTTTTGGCATTATAACCTTCACAGTCCTCCTGTTGTGTATCCATTACGATCGAATGCTTGTATCCTCCAGCCTTTGTTTTTACAAAAAGCTAAGCTCCGTTTAATATGATTTGAGTGGCTGATGGTCTGTAATTCCACAGTAAACACTGAAGAAGGCAGGAGTGCAGCATTGACTAAGAGTATCTGCAGTGTACTGTGACAAATAGGAAAATACAAATGCTAATCCTTCGGATTATGGTTTATCCTCTGAGCTAGTATGCAGCATATCAATTCTAAAGAGGTTGTAAGAAGTTTAATTTTCAAGTTCTGAGTACATGTTTTAAGATTGATAAGACACTTCACTGCTACATTTGACAATGTGTGGTGAAAACATTGATCATGCACCTCTCTTCATCCTGAGAAATATTGCACAAACATACCTGTCTGATCTTGTATTGCTAGGATTTTCCCAATTTGCTATTAAAGAGATGTTTTGTAAATTGGAAGTGACCAATGTTTTCCTGGACACGTTTCTTCATGTTTTAAATCTAGTTAGGACATTTTGATTTTGGGGTAAAAATCCTTGTCTCATATTATCCGAATTTATATTATTTACAACTGTCAGCAATCAAAATAGAATCCACGAGCAACAGGTCACTCTCAACTACCCACCCGAGAAAACAAAATATTAACTTCCATTATGGCTTTAATACAGCTGGCATAACAGTAGCCAACAAATAAATGGGTTTTCACAAATGGAAGATTATTTGTTGATTGCAGCTGTAGGTGACAAGGCAATTTGTGGGGAAATATTCTCTGTTGTTTCTCTTAGGGGGGTCACAGTGGAGCAGTGGTTAGCATCTTTTCCTGTCACCACTGGGGCTCTGGGTTCAATTGTGGACCTGGGGTGTTGGTTCTGGTGTGAATATGTGCATGTCTGTGTCTGTGTGTGTGTCCTGAGATGGATACAGGTTATACCCTGCTTTGTGCCCATTGCTTGCCAAGAGACTCTGACTCCCCTGTGACTCTGAATTGGATGAAGTGGTGAGTATGGATGGATGTTTCTCTTGATGCAAAGTGGAGTTACAGCATCAGCGGTTTCCAGTGTTTATGGTAACCTGCACACATTGGAGATATCAAACAGATGGGGTTGACTGGGGGATTAAAAAAAAATTGGCACAAACTGTCGGCTTTATCTATTTTCTTCAGGCAGAAATCAAATGCCGCTATTTTTTTCTTAAATTGAGAAGTGCTCTGTACTGCCTGGAGAAAATAGATGAAGCTTGCAATTCTGACCTCATATCTTGACAAAGACAGTGAAAGTTAATGTTTTAACATTCATCTGTGTTGAAGAAGAAAGACAACACTGAGGAAAGGAAAGCAGTTTGTTTGGACATTGCAACTGCTATGGAAAGATATTGTCAGTTCGTTGAGTTAATAATAAACTGTATTTTATTTTATGTAGTGCCTTTAAAAGTGGCTTCTTAAGGCGAGTTAGGGATTCTTACCCTTTTCCATTTTCTTAGTGTTGTTCTGCTATATGAGCACAGAACATTCAGGTAACCAGCATCAGAAAACCAGTCTTCAGCACAAGATCACTAAAGAGAATACCCTGTAATATATTGCTGTAACCGTTTTTTTTATTACATGCTGTTATTGTGAAAATGTAATAGTCCTTTCTCAAGAGAGACCTTGTCATTTTTACAGTTCATAAATAACCGATAACTTCATAACTTCATTCCATGTATTGGTAGAGAACTGTGCAATGGAAGAATTCGTTTTCTTGGTTTGCAGTTTAATAATTCATGGTTTGTAAGCATAATCTCTAAATTGACAAATCTCCTGAAATAAAAAAATGTATTGTTCAGTGTCAAACTGCCTATGCTCAAAGAAGCCTACCACTATACCTTAAGCTTCTAATGAATCTGAAAAGAGACTAAATATCTGGCTTTTTCCTCATTTCTGTGGTAACTTAGAAGTACAGGTTCTGTGATAAACAATTTCTTTGCAATTGTAAGACAAATATCAACCTGGAGCTTTTTCAGGTTGTATTCTTATCGTTTGGCACATAGGACTTGAAGGCAACAAATGAACATTCTGAATTTTATTAGCAGTTTTACAATACAGTTGACAAAGGTTTAAGTCACATGAACTGAATTACAGCTAGCGGAACAGCTAGTGAGGGCTTTTTTTCAGTCTACATAACATTACAGATTTTCTTGGCTTATTGTAAAGAGGCAGATATAATTGGCCTCAGAGGACAGATCATATTCATATGATTCTTTAGATATTTTGTGGTAGGGCCCTGATACATTCTCTCTCTTCATTTTCTGTATACTGTAACATACAGAAGTAAAAGAAATGAGAATTAACCATGTATTTAATATTCTTTGCGGTGGAAAGAAAATGTAGTAGCATATTTATTAATGTGTTTAACGGCTGGTACCATTAAAAGAACATAATGGCTTTTGTTTTTTTGGCTTTTGTATTCCAGCAGCGACCTTTCCATTAGGTTTTCATAGTCTAGCATGTCTTGTTTAAATGGATAAAATTCCAGTCTCCTTCAAATAAAGCCACTGTGTTTGATTTTGCAGTCTATTTCTAGAAGACCTGTTGCTCCCATTTATGCCATACATGTATATAATGTTAGTTTCAATTGTACTGTATAGAATGTATGTCATTTTTAACAAAAGGGGGAAGAATCCTTAGTTGTTAAAGTAAAAAAGTCACACAAATCCCCAATGACCCGTCCTTCTTCTGGGTTCCTAGGATTTTCAGTCTAATGTTACTCATCCAGTGTAATTCATTACATTGCACAACAAATATTCAAAATAATGTTTCTTACTTAATTGTTTTTTTGTCTACACTTAAAATGTACATGTCAAAGTGAGGCATAAGATTATTTTCAAGTTTGCATAAAATATTTTTATTTTTCAGCTTTTTGTGATGCAGTTTTACTGGAGCTCTTTATATAGTATATACTGTATATAAATGATAGTGCAAATGGGAAGAAATCTGAAATTGCTTTTCCTTTGTAATTTTGTTCTGTTAGTAAAATGTTTAAGATGCAGGTTGAATTCCCGAAATTGGATAGAATTACTAGACCCGAGGAAAAGAGGACACCTGCGTGCTGGACAGGATCTGTTCCACTGCATATTGTAAATACTGTATGCTGCTTTTTGCTTCTTTTTTAAATTTAGAACAAAAAAAATAGGGGCAAAGCTTAAATAATAATCTGAGATGCAAAACCTTCATCCTTATTAAGCTTGTTGTACAGTTTTGATGACACAGTACAGAACAATTCTGGTCCTGTTTGTAGTGAGGATACCAACTGCAAATGGTTGCAGTGGTTAGCATTGCTTCCTCGCAGTGCTGGTGTCCTATGGTTCAGTTCTGGACCTGGGGTGTGATCTGTGTGGAGTTTGCAGTTTTTTCCCTGTGTTCATGTGGGCTGTGTCTCCAGCTGCTCTGGCTTCCTACCACAGTCAAAAACAGACTGGTACCTATAGGTTAACTGGCTTCTGGGAAACTTGGTTCTGGTGAGACTGTGTGCGCTCGGTGACGCTGTGTGCGCTCGGTGACGCCGTGTGCGCTCGGTGACGCCGTGTGCGCTCGGTGACCCTGTGTGCGCTCCTTGATTCTGTGTGCACTCCGTGACTGTGTTTGTGCTCCGGGACTCAGTGTGCGCTCCGTGACTCAGTGTGCGCTCCGTGACTCCGTCTGTGGTCTGGGAGTCTGTGTGCACTCCGTGACTGTGTCAGTGCTCTGGGACTCTGTGTGTGCTCCGTCCAGGGTGTATCCTGTCTTGTGCATGTTGCTTGTCGGGATAGGCTCTTGCACTCCCATGATGCGGAAGTGGAAACAGCAGTTAGAAAATGGGTGGAAGATTATGCTGTATTTTGTAAAATATGTACATTGTCTTTAGGATACTCACAGCTGATGATGTAGGATTTTTTACTAGTTTTTTTACTAGTTGCAGTGGGGGTGGGTGTGCTTGAACTCAATTCCTTCTAGTGATAAGAAGTGCAGACTCCATTTTTCTGATAAAAATAATCTTCTAGGTTTTAGAAGTAGAGACGTGTTGATCGGCTATTACAGGTTGGGGCTAAAGTACTTTTTATTTAACAAGAAATGGCTCGGGGTGTCCTGTGTATCATTGCATCCCAGTTTGCAGGTGTGCAAGCACCTGATTCGTGCAGTGTATGAGCCCAAACGCACCCTCCTCTCTGACAAGGACACCCCAGGTCACTGGAGAGGGGGGGCACAGGCTCCAAATTAAGGTCTCAGTCACAGCTGCTGGCCTGGGCCAGTCCTCTGTCAGTCGAAGCAGGTGCCAGATGTAGGGCAGCCCCTGGCTAAGCCAGCCTGCTCATCTCGTTAGAGAGGGCAGCCAGGAAGGGATCGATCTTAAGAGAGGATTGGGGGGCCAGAGGTCAAAGTAAATAAGAAACCAAATCACAAAGAGCCATGGGCTTAGTGAGACAGAACTAGTGAATCCACAGCCCCTCCGAAGCCCCGTTTATGTTTTTGTCATCGAGACAGAGAACATTTTTTTTATTCCGACTGTAGGGTCACCAGTCCGTTGTTAACTATTTAACACTCTGTGATGCAGGAAATTGAAAACCTCCATGTTATCCTGGGGAGACACTGAAATCTGAGATGTCTAGGAGGAATCATAATTGTCATTCTGATATCTACAAAAAGATTTCATTTTTCCTGCTCAGGTGCCAAAATAACTTATTCCAGTTAATTCCGATCAT